TCGAAGCAAAATCCTCCATTGCGAAGAAGAAAACCGCAATCACCAAGCTTGCGGGAGTAAGCTGGCGGCACCACATTCCAATCTCCATCACCAGCACAAACGGGAAAATATATCGACAACCACGAATACGAGGAACGCACAAAACAAATCATGGACCACGGCATTGTGAGCAGAATCACTCCGTGACGTCCTTAGCACACCTCGCAACAGTGACCGACCGAGCACTACTAGAGCAGGTGTGTGTTCTTACATGTAGGCAGTCTAGAGCTGGTTCCACAAGCTTGGACTGCTTCGTCTCAAAGGCGAGACGCAAGGGCAGGATCACCAAATCTGCTTCCGAACCTTCTAGGATGTGTCCGGCCTCAGCTAGGGCTGCAGCAGCTGCCTGTCCGGTGCTGGGCTTGGCGGGAGATATGGCCGGGCTGGTATCCTCAAACTTCTCGTCTGCTTCTTTAGGACTTGATGGATCACCTTCCGAGAGATTGTCTTGGACGACGGATCTGCATCCACTATGTACATGTCACTAGAAGCACCACGGAAGTATTGATTTTCGGTCGTCAAGGAACGGCGGAATAGTATGACCACTTTGGTACGACCTCCAACAAAAATATTTACTGTTGGATTGTGTCCGCAGCAGCATAGAGACATACTCTTTCAAGGTTGAGCTTCTTCAAAAATCTTAACAAGATCTTTTTTTGAGCCTGATACACGACCGCTGAAGACTCCCGGAGGTTTGATTAGTTCACCTCAATCTACAGCATTTGTCTCAGAAGGATAACAGAAAACCACATCGTGACGTGTATACACCACTCCATCATGTGTCCTCGATGCTCGATTGGCTTTTCTGTTCGGCGTGCTCTAGTAATAATGACGATGTTGCCTATCAATGTTATTGTGTAATTTTTCAAAGCAAAAAATGTGATCAATCCAAAGGCGAACAAATACCGTCCGAGGAAACTGTGGATAAGGAGAAAATTGTTTTTAAGAAAGGTAAATCATTATCGAGAAAGCGTACATTTCATCTCGGAAAACTGCATGGGGCTCGTCGAGGGGCTCGAGTGGTAGTGACACAGGTTTCCTCTCTGCAACATTACAAAATAAGACCTTGAATTAGTGACCAATTTCCGAGACCACACCTGTCAAATCTATAACTATATAAAGAGTGACTACATGCTCCTTCACTAAGCTGTACTCTCCAACGATTGCGATATGGTTTAATTCAATTTGTTGAAAATTCGAAATTCTCATAGATTGTAACCAATTCGTATGCCTGACTAACAAAAAGAATTTCCCATTTTTTTCGCGAAGAATTTCGCTTATGCATCTAAGTATACCAATTAATTACCATGATTGCTTCAAAAACATAGCTGATTTAAACTTCACCAAAGAACCTATCTACCAACGGATCTGAACGCAGTAAGTTACAGTGAATATTTTGAGGATAATAACAATAATATCCTGACTGTATCCAGATCACGGAAACTTTACTCGCATGAAATCATATGACGTATTTCGAATACGCCAACCAAGTAACAGATGACGGTAATCTTAGCGGAATTCGCACAAGCGCAATGCAGACCGTCCCCAATCGGATCCGCAGCTACACTAGCGTCTATATTGCAAATCTAGATCTTATTTAAAAAGGATAAAAAATATTCCCATCACTCTATTAGGTCACACCTGTGAACAAGCTTATTACGAGGCGAGCCCAAAGCTATCGGATCCGCACAAAGAAACAACACTCACCCAAATATGCCTTCAGAGCAGTTTGCAAGCTGCCAAACTTGCGGCCCGTGGAATCCTTGAGCATGCGCTCGAACGCACGCGTAACAAAGGCGCCCCCGGCCTCCGCCATGTTTGCACTCTTGCGCTAAATCAAACGTCCGCTCTCATAACCCTGAACTAGAAACCTATCAACTACAGACAGACGAGCTCCAGATCCTTGTGCAATATTGGAAAAGAAAAACAACAACAACAACAACAACAACAGAAACGACTTCGAATCAAAGGAACCCGCTACGATTGATCGGCTTCCGATCTACACTCTGATGAAAAAGCGAGCATCCTTGCTTGCATGAACTCGCTCAAATCACTCCAATAAAAGGAACTACGTCGCACCGTGTGACGAGGGCTATCTACGGCCATGGCCGAGGTCCTCTTGCAGGTGTCAACCCACATGTCCAGATCCCAACCCACGTCCTCCTCCAGATCTCCAAAATAAATCATGGTGTCCCCAATTCTCTTTTTGGCCCCCCAACAGTCCTCCACAGATTTGTGTCACTATTGGTGTGATTTTTCTAGTATTGCATGGGGTGAATATCACTTTTGGATCATGCAAATTTTTTTTCTCCATGTTAATTTGGTTTGTAGGAAATTGATATATCGCCAAAATTGATAACCTATATCATTGTAGTTTCTGTTTTCCACAATCCTAAGTTTGATTATTTTTTGTCATTATGAAATTTAATATCCTAGCATTCATTACACAAGGTGTCAATATTGGTTCTAACACTACCCCGTTATATATATATAATAATTCCATTATTGGTTTATCAATTGACAAATGGTATGTGTAAATTAGTTACATGTGTGTGTGTGTGTATATATATATATATATATATATATCCATACACATGCAATCAATATGTAGATATAACTGATTAAAGTCTTTAACATAACTATTTAAATTTATAACAAACGATTTTTTGAGTAATATTTTTTCAATATAAGATAGTATTGATGGCAAAACCATTGAAAATATTTAAACAGTACTCAATAATTTATTTTAAATCACAAGTATTTTCATTATAAAATAAAACGACTATTTTTTTATAATTAAATGTTCTTTGAAATGGAACATTTTCTAGTTCCAACTAATTTTTTAAAGTCCTAATCATATATAACACCCTTCCTTATATTATTTCAATTTCATTCAAATAACTAGATACTAATATGCACATACTTTTGACATCAAACACCACAGAATTTGTACACTCACAAAGTATATATATATATATATATATATACACACACATAATCATTTCATGGCTGTAGTGTATATTTCTGAAATCATTCACTTTTACAAATATATACGTATTTTCATTTTATTTTATGTTAAAGAACATTTTAAAATGTGATAAGGCTTGCATGCTATGAGAAAATAATTCAAGGTTTGAAAGAAACATTAGTCTTTCTATTGCATAGAAATTGTTTAAGGAAAAATGTGAAAAGTTGGTTAGTTTAAAATCCAAATAGTGATTAGAAATCTCAATTTCATTAACCCTAGATTGTACATTGAGTCAAATTTATCTAAACTCGAATGAAAAATAATATTTAAAAATTTCCTTGAAATTTAAATTTATGAGAATATATATATATATATATATATATACACATACATATATGCACTTAATTTTACATGTAAAATCATAAATATCACTATAAATCAAATTCTTATTATTATTTTATTATTTCCAAAGAAATAAAATATAATAAGAACCACCATACAGTCAAGAATTTATTATTCTTAGTTTAAATTATTTTTTAATTTATATACTTAATAAAAATATTTCAAAAATTTAAATAAAATATTGTAAATGATTTTATATGTTAGCTACTTAAATAATAAATTTCATTAGAGGTTAATATGATTTAGTCTAAATATATTTCAACAAGAGTAGTAAAAAGAATTTAAAAATATATTTGACACTTTATTTCTAAAAAAAAAATCGTGTGATTGTTTTAGTTAATAAATTGTAGATTTTCTAATTCAAAGAGAGTTTTTGAAATCGCACATGTTCCAAAGATATGGACACCACTAATATTAATAATTAACATAAAAATAAGATTTATTTTAAATCTTCACTTGGAATTTTATATGTAAACTTAAAAATAGAGATTAATTTGAATTAATTTAGAAGATTTGTGTGATTTCAAAAGATTATTTTGAATGATATATTTAGATTTAAAAGATTATAAACAAGTAAAACAAAATATCCATTGTGCTACTAAAGAAATTGATTTTCAAAACAAAAAGTAGTTTCAAATAACTAGCTTAATAAAATTTCTAAAATAATAATTATTAATGTATCTTAATATTTTTATATTTTTTATTAAATTAAAAATCTAAATATAAAGTGTGTGATTTCAAAAGATTAAAACAAATTCTAAAATTTTCTTATTTTCTATTTTTTTAACATTTGAAATTATAAAATTAAAATTCTACAACTTCTTTCCTATAAATATAATTACATATTTGCAATTGATAAGAAGTAGCTGTTCACAGAACCATAATGATCTAACAACCACCAAAGACAATGTATCTTGAATTCCACAGCACAAAACTCTACAAGTGACGATAGAATAGAAAGATAATATGGAGACTAGATTCAAGTTCATAACCTTACGAATAGCAATTGTATATACCACATGCAAATAGTTGTACAAAATGCGCCACATTTCTTATAGCCAGACACAAATTGGTACTCTTTTTACTATTTCAGCGAGCCTTAAGTACTCACCAAACACTTTCCCTTAACCCCAATCAACAATACTAATTGAGGACTTATTTTATAATAGACAGGTTGCACTAATTGCTTTATTGGAGACTGTTTTAATACCACTATTTTATCATAGACAAGTTGCACACTATGTGATTCCAAAAGCACTTGAGAGATTATTCAAGAAAAAAAGAACAAATAATCATAGATGTACAAGAGTGCCCTATTTTAATTAAATTTAACAATAGTAATAAGTAAAACTTATCTATAATCATTAAGCACGGCAATGTACATGCAAAAAATAATATCTTTAAAGAAGCTAAGGAAGTACATGATTGCAAAACATACATTAAGCTTACAAAGAAATAATGGTGTATATTTATGATGCTTATAAAAAAAATATAGAAAATACATGATTAAAAAGCATATCAATTGGTACATATAAATAATGGATATACATAAAATAAAAAGCACAAGCATAACCACAAAGTTATGTTTAATAATAACATATATTATAAAGAAAAAAGAGTAAAAATAATACAAATTTAAATATTTCTAATACCTAGATTAATATTAAATACTTAAACTTTCTATGTTGAAAGAACTATCTACTATAATACAACTAAGCTTATTAAAAATTAAAAAAAATCTCTTGGATTCATTCAATTTTATTTTTATGGCATGACTTTGGAAATTTAATTAAAGATTTCAAAACTTCATTTTCTATCTAGATTATATTCTTTTATATAATATTCAACAAAAAATATTTTGTTGTAATTTGTTTTTGTATAATGATTTATATATACATGTACTTATGCCTATAATGATAATTACTTTGAAATTTTTATTAAAAATAATTGTAAGTAAGACATCCAAAAGTACAACATTCAAACTGTACAAGATTTTTTTTTTAAATATTATTTATGAAAAAATTTCATTTAAATAAAAAGTTATCATTTTGTATATATTTAATAATTCTTTTGTTAAAGTTAATGAAGCAAGTATGTATGATTTTCTAATATATTCTATTAAATTTAGAAATAAAAAACATAGTTGAAATCTAAACATATCCAATGATAAAGTTAAACATACAGAAGCAAATAATGATTAGAATAATAATAATAATAATAATAATAATAATAGATAGAAAGTGCCATTTTTTTGTTTTTTTAAAAAACAATTAAAAGCAATGAATTATGCATTCTTTTGTTTATGCTTATAGAAGCTTAATGATAAATATATTCATTAATGTAATTTTTTTTAGTAATATGTTATTAATTAATATATTAAAATTTATCAAATATATATTTATATATATATATATATATATATATATTAAAATTAAACCAATATACCATTTATGCTAGTTAGTAAAAAAATATTTATTAGATATTTAAAAATTATAAAAAGACATATATATATATATATATATATTTTAAGTGGTAGATATATACACTATTACTACCAACATACTATAAAGATAATTTGAGTATATGATAAGTGAGAGTTCTTTGCTACTTTTACAATTAAGTTATAAAAATTATAAATATTGAAAGCATTATTAGAAGATTAAATATTAGAGAAAACAAATTTTGAAGTCACAACACATAGTATCAATAAGATTGCACACAAAGAGATGTCTCTCACTTCTAACACCTCTTACTTATATGTTGTAGTTGCTGCCCTAAAAGACAACTTCCACTCTTTGACTTTCATACATTTAGTCATAGGATTTTTTAGTATCTAATTTACCATAAAAGTATCTTATGGTCTTTGGATCTTTTGGCATTTTACTAACCAGGAGGATATCCTATGCCAAACATCAACTCTTATTACTCTTATACTCTATTACTCTTATATATATTTTGGATATACCCTAGTTGATATTTTATCCTCTTGACATTGACTCTTAGCCCTTGACCTCGTCTTATATCCATAAAATGTCCATTCCATATACCAAGAGTCAACCCTTTGACCATTAGCAACTTACATAAGGTAATATCCTCTAAAAGATAATTTATTAAATTTTTATTTTTATTTATTTATTTTAACACTAAACATCCACAAACTTCCTTGATTTAAACTTATTAATAATGATTAGTAATGTATAAAGTCTTTTTGAAGGATTATAGAATTCTTGGACAAACTATTCCATATATTTTTATTATTAAATTTAATAAAGATATCTAATACAATAAAATTCTTGTTTCTAAAAATCATATTTTTAAAAAATATTTTAAATATTAAAACTTTGTTAAATGATAATATCATTGCTTTGATTAAAGATTATGTTTACAAAACTATTCATCTATCAATATGTTATGCATTTAATTATTACTTTGTGACTACCAAAATGTTATTAAATATTTAATCTCATCTTTTTGTCATAGACATATATAATTACCTTGATAAAAAATATTAGATAGAATATAAATAAAAGTAAATTTGATAATATCTAGTAGATAAGCTTTATAAAAGTTTAATGGACACAAATTTGACTTTAGACGTATTTGTAGTTGATTGATAGGTTAAAAACTTGGCCAATAAGTTAGATACATGTTGTCCATATTGACAACTTATTGTACAAGTTAGCAATGTGGCGCATCTAGAAGAAACTTGCCTTATAAGTTAGACATATGTTGGAGGTCCTATAGAACATTGCCACATAGCTTCTAATTAGATAGTATATATGGAGACAAGAGTGAAGCCTTCTTCACTCTTAGCAACATCTTTTTAGTCCTTAATCTTGTCTCAAAAGTCTATAGTTTTCTTAGCTTAGGCAATAACCATTATAGTTTAATAATAGTCTATTTTTTAGTGATTATCTACTCTTTTCAAGTGGAATAAGAGTGTATTGATCTTTTGATTCTTTGTGATTTATGTCATTGATATTTTTATATAATAAGAAATTTCAAATAATATAATATATCTATCTCAACTAATCTTTAAGATTGTTAATCACTTAATACATATGTAAAAAAGTCAATTATTTGTAAATTATATGCCATATGATTTAATAGGAATGAAACAAATTCTTAAAACCATTAACTTATTTAATGAAGATAATACACTACATACAATGCAATAAAAGTTGTTAAACATGATAAATTTTTTAATAAATTAATTTTCTTCATTTATGGATTTATAGATTAAAAAGTAACATTCTTCCACAATCTTTTATTCTTGATCAACCAAAATGAGGCCAACCCAACCATTTAGCCAATTGATGTCATGTCCATCTCACGTGATTAGAACATAACATATTTTAAATAGAACGCATATGTGAGTCTTCCTTTAATAAATTTTTATATATTCCTACCATACAATAAGTGCTGTAGAAGCTCAACTATATCCTAGAATAATAATAATAATAATAATAAATGCAAATCCGAGAAGTTCTTAATTTAATTTGAGTTGGTGGTACATGCTTCAAAATTAACAATAGATTGATGGACTATATATTTCCATGGACTTCTCTCACATGTGGCCTCCCTCTCCTTAAGTTATTCACATTCACCTCCTTTTAGAATTAAGCTACTCTCATTATCAATAACTCCAAAATGGATAATGAGAATAACGGCCATTGTTGTGGGGTATTGTGTCCACATAGGCGAAGACTTGAATCAGATGCCCCTTGAGATCCCGAACGCAGTCACCCCCTCGCGTCTGCTTTCCTCAAGTGTCGACTCGAGATCCTGAAGAGGAGCGTGACGACAAGGAGCTTTTTGTCGTGGTGCCGCTGGATGATCCGCGAGGCATCGCTTATCAGAGGCACCGCATTGCTGCTGATCTTCACGCTTGCTAGATTAGCTCGTAATTGTTCCGAAGTATGATGGATAATCGGCAACCATGAAGAACGATGGTAATGGTCAGAGCTTGAATTTAGGGGCCAGGTTTTGTAACTCGCGAGATTCGTCGAATTATCTGTGTATGAATTGAGTTCTGGGCGTGGAATTTGTTTGGTGGTGGATGGTGAGTGTGACGAAATTTAGTCGTTTGATAGCTTGGACTCCCTCGCTGCATTTGAACCACCGTGCGTTTTGCATCGCCTCTTAGCTCGATGGAATAGCGCATAATTGCGACGGTTGGAGTGGAGGGGCAATGGCTGAGGCGGAGGCCATTGCAGCTGAGGAAGTAGAAGGTGATGAGGGATTGGAGTCGATGTCGAGTGAAGCACAGGCAAAGCCCCAAGTGGCTCCATTGAAGAAGGCGCGCCCTGTTGGCGCGGCTAAGAAGCGCAAGTCTGTGCCCCGCACCAAGTTAGGCAAGAAGAAGGGTACGTATGGAATGCACTCTGTTTCTGTCCGAGAGCTGTTCTAGGGTTGAAAAATGAGTGAATTAGTATTTGATTCATGTGCGGGGATTGGACATGGCAGACGTGGAGACCAAGACGGTCCCGCCCAAGAAGATGAAGGAGACGGCTTCGATGGACTTGTCGGATCCGTCGCAGCTGACTATGAAGGAGATCATTCGAAGGGCGGAAGCTATTGAGAGGGCGGTATGCTTCTGTAAATTAAGTGGGAATGGATTTATCATGGGTTGTGGAGTAAATTTTCCGGTTGCTGATCAAGTTTTAAGTAACATGCACTTTCTAGGTCATTGGTTTAAACAAATGACCTAGTCTCTATCTTCCCTGAAGCAAGTGAGCAAAGAGTCGTCTGCGCTGATCGCCGGGGGCCTATTTTTTCCATTGTGTCAATAATGTAAGTAGTCAACCGAAACGTCTGAACTTGCAGAAAGCGAAGGAGGAAGCTGCCAGGAAAGCTGAAGAGAAAGAAAAGAAGGGTTCGGGATCAAGATCTGCAGCGAGGGACATGACCACCCCAGCAGCCCAGAATACGTAAGCTTTCAACTTTATTAAGCCTGGCTTATTATACAAGGAATTCCTGAATTGTGGGCTTTGCCGCACAAGTCATCTTTTTGAATCTAAATTACCTAACCCGTTCTATACATCCTGGTTTGGCAGGTCTGCTCCCTCTAATTCCTCCGCTCCCTCCGTCTTAACTCCTCAAGTGCAGATTGTGAATGGGCGCATTGTTATTAATCAACAGAGCTTGATGGTGGCCGCTCAAGCCAGTACTCGTGAGGATATAGATACTTATCGCAGGGTGGAAGAGGATAGGCCTAAACTTAACTCCAATTCGTACTCTAATCGAACACACGTAGAAAGGTGGAAGCAAGAAGACACGGATTTATTTTACAAGGTATAGTCTGGGAGGACTGCTTTCCTGCAGTAATATTCTCTATGACAGAGTGTTGGTATGGTGCGAGTGAAATGAGTTTATTTGGGGAAGGATTGCCCTGTTTTCTTTTCCTTGCTTTCTTTATGTTGAGTATTGCTCCTCTAGTCGTCCTGAGTTTGTAGAGTATTTTATTTGTTTTATTTTATATTATTTTATTTATGTTATTATTTTTTGTGACAACTGAGTCTAGTTTTGACTTCGTTTCCAAACTGCATATGTAACATGCACGAAGCTCTTATTATCGTAATGCAGGCACTGCAGCAATTTGGAACAGATTTTGAGCTGATACAGAATTTGTTCCCAGGAAGGACAAGAAAACAAGTGAAATCAAAATTCAAGAATGAAGAGAGACTGAATCCTGTACGCCTTGCTGATGCTCTTGGGCACAAAATACAAGGTTCGTACCAAGTGGCATAGTTTCCTCGTCATTCAGGAGTGTGATGCAAAATGTTAGTATGTATACACACACACACACACACATCTATATATATATATATATATATATATATCTATCTATATTGCTGGGTATCTTGTAAGTGTACCTAACCTCTGGAATGTGTTGCTACAGATCAGTCTCACCACTACAGAGCCATTCTCGAAATGATTAAATCAGAAAAGCCAGTCGGAGATCCAGATGAAGGGTTGTTGGAGAGTCTTCTGCGACCTGTTGTGACGAATGAAACATCCAGCGGCCAGGTAGGTTGCGGTCTGAATTAGGGCGAGTATAATTGATGTAAAAGTTGTTTTCGAGTAAGTGTGATTTTTGATGAAATGTTAGCATAATTATTTTACTTATATTGAAATATCCTTGCAGCCGGTTGCAACACAAGTGGTCGCTTCTGAAGAGAAAATGGATAAAGAGGGCAGTGTGGAAGTTCCTGCTAACACAGTAGCTTTGGAGAAGGCGAAACCGGATGATCCAATCGTGCCTGTGTCGGATCCCATTCTTTTTAACTCAGCAGTTTTACCCCAGTCTGATGTTGGAACTATCACCTCCAAGAACGATTCACCCACGTCAGAAGATCCTGCAACTTCGGTTCCATCAGATCAAAGCAAGAATAATGCCTCTCGAAATCGTTTGGGTAGCTATGGGAATCCCTTGAGCAGTTATGTGAAGGAACCCATATCTGGGAATTCGTTGGGTAACTATGAGAATTTGTCTAAGAACCCTTTGGGTAGCTACGGGAAGAATCCCTTGGGTATGTACAATTAGTAATAGATTACATTGGAACCTATTTATTCACCCGCCGGCCTCTACTCACTTGAGAATAATTTTAGAGAATTTTGTGCGGCATTTACTCTGGTCCACCAAACGTTCGGGACTGCAAGGGTGCGAGTTCCCAAACAGAGCGATCTTGAGTTACAACGGCTACTGAAATACGATTCGGACAGAATGTGTCCAAATTGCAGGCCAGATATTGCTAGACTTTTCGAAGTGAATCACTAGCAGCCCAACATGTTGCCTGGTAGAACAAGCTGGAATTCGTTGTCGATTGATAGGTTGAACATTTTTGCAAGTTTATCATTGTTTCAATACCAATTTTACCGTGTTGAGGTCTTTCATTGTATTGGCGCTGACTTGTAGAACAGCCACGTAATTCTGAAGCAGACGATGCCCTTACAGAGAAGCATCAAAGGGACTTCGGTATCCTTTATTTGTGAGGGTAGCTCTTCACATACGACGATCGACAGTACTTTGTTCTGTACGTTGGAGTGTTTGCCTGTTTCCTATGTTTGTGATTGTTGGATTATGTGATTTGCAATTTTCATGCAGGCTTCGGGCTTTGGTGGTCGACACGGATAGTCTGATGATGTTCTGGATGCCATGGATTATTCTTTCAATGTTTCACTCTTTCGCCATTACCTTGAAACGTTGAATGATATAGTTTGCAAGGAGCTCTATTTGTTGTCTTAAAGTGAAATAATGTCATGGTTAGATTTCATGTTGCCCTCGCCCTTCTTGTTTTTGTTGAAGTGCTGCCAGTGAATACTCAGCTCCTGGCATTTTGCTAATATTTACATTTTGTGAATTTGGGTGAAGATGTACTTTGGTAGAAGGTGAAGAATCAGGGATTATGATATTTTGAAGCTAGACCTGAAGCTGACTTTACCACTAGATAGGAATGGTCTATTAAAAATATTTACATGTTCTATCAGAGTTTCCTAATACTCATCAACAATTTCTACCACCATTTGTGGATGCATTAGGGGGTGTTAAAGTAGTAGAATGTCTTGAAGAAAAATTCACAAAGAATTGAGAAGCCAATATATAGACCACAAGAGATCTTTAATATCAAAAAAGAAAAGAGAAAAGAGAAAAGAGAAAGAAATTGCACATATGAGAGGATTATTCGTTCCATAACCCTAAATCTGCCAACAAAACTACGAGGTTTTATGCCCAAAAAAATTACTCATGTTTAGACAGAATTTGATAAAAGTACATATGCATCTAAACACAAAAATGGGTTTCTTTAGTCTAAATTTTTTATGAAATTTTATTGATTGATTGATTGATTTTTTTCTTTCTAAAACCTAAAAAGAATAAAGGGTGCTTGTAAACCCTAAACCTGGTCAACGCTGGAGCTCACACCCGGGGTCGCTCCAGCGTCAAGTCTCACGAAGTCGGTGTAGCATGAATTGCACAAGTCATGGGAAGGGCGGCCAAGGCGAGATAATATTTCACTAGAACTGCGAGAATGATACACAGAAACGCTATGGCAATTACGAGCGGTGTTGATGAAGAAGAAGAAGGAGAAGGAGATTGAGAAGGAGGAGGAGGAGCGGAACCAGCGGGATGTCGCGAATATTTCTTTTTCAGAGTATGTCCTGAGCCTTTGAGCAGAACAATGCGGGAATGCTGTGGCGTTTGTTGGGGTAGTTGAGGTAGAGGTTGAGGAAGAGGATTGTCGACAACATGCTTGAGGATGCTTGAATCTGAACTGGAGGATGCTGGAGACTTCGAATTATTTGCAGAAGTCTTGGCTTGGATTTTTGAGATTTTTCTTAACACTAGAGCGTTGCAGGAATCTGGGCCATTGACAAGTAATCTGCCGATTTCATGCTTGGTTAGCTCTTGTAGCCGAGCTGCCATGGCTTTGTGAGCGCTGTCTGCGTCGAAGGTGCTGGCTCTTGTGCCTGTGGATAAATTTTGGAGCAATTCTTGAATGCCGAGGAGAGTGGTGCCGGATTTCGTTTGGTGAAGAAGAGCATTCGTCCAGTTGCGCTTAGCCATTTCGATGTTCATGGCAACGCCGTGTCCAGCGGCATAGCAATGTCCCATTTCGATGTACGCGGACGGGAAATTCAGGTTACAAGCTTGTTCGTACAATGAAATGGCCTTGGATTCGCACTTACCGACGCCCATGCCGAGTTCGTAGCATAATCCAAGACGCCAGAGCAACTCTGGATAATCATGATTCAGCGACCTGAATAGTTTGAAGGATTTCTCCATATCACATGCTTGTGATGTCCAATTGCCAAAATACCGGCCTGCTTTCATCACCTCCGCTACCTCGTCCACTCCCGAAACAAACTTGGCTCCTGCAACTTTCTTTCTACACTGAACATCAAATACTGCATAACTAAAAACCTCGACAGGCAAAGTACCCTTGGCGCCCTCTTGAATGCACCACTTGGAACCAAGGTGCGAGGAGAGTATTTCAGCATCGTATTCGTTAACACAACTCAACGTTGAAGGGAAAGAATGTCGCAGAATCACGCCTTTGCAATATGACAGCATATTGCAAATGTCAGGAAAGAGAGGACGATCCTTTGGATTGGTTGCCCAGCACTGCTGCATGAAGGTGGAGAGATACACTGGGCAATGCGACTCAGTATTCGTCACTGGCCTCCACCCGGAAAGCAGGCTTGGCAAGACGTCCCTCGGGCTTAAAGCCTCATAAGGTTTCAATCCAGTCAGAATTTCATACATTACCAATGCAAAGCTGTACACGTCTGTGTATTTCGTGTACATTTCTATGCTGTCTGATTTGTAGTCGTAAACCTCTGGGGGCCTCCAAGCCATCGGGTTGCTATAGGTTGCACTCGACGGCCGCATGCTCTGTCTCAATTTTGATAAGCCATAATCTGCAAGCTTCACGCGCACACACGAGAAATTGTCCTTCCTCTCTGTCGCATCAAGGATAATATCCGTCGCCTTTAGGTCACCGTGTATTACGTTCTGGTCGTGAAGGTACCTCATGCCCTCTGCAATTTGGAGTAGAATATCAAATGCCTTGAGGTGAGACACCGGCTTCGACCCATGACGTTTTAAGTAAGTCTCGAGATTCGCGCTTCCCCGTTCCATGATCAACATCTGCTGATTCTCGTGGACTGTGTAGCCGATAAACTGCACCAAGTTGACGTGTTGTAGACGTGCAAATACCTCGACTTGTTCTTCCATGACCTTGATGCTCTTCTCATCTGTCAAGTTAAGGCACTTCGCAATGGCGGGCATTCCAAAACATTTGCATTCACATACAGTTCCCACTGATCCCATTTTGTGGGTACCCTGTGTAATCTCTATGTAACGGAATCTTATCGAGTAGTAACGTCGTGTTTCAGGGGTAGGAGTGTATGATTGAAATTTCCTCAGCAAGTACTTGGCGAGCTTATAGCTGGATCCGTATCTCCTCTGTAGAAACGTCTTGCTTTCTTTGAAAGCTTCGACACTGCGACCTAAAGTCTGGTTGTCTCTCTTGTGGGCTTCTTCTACAACCGCTGCAAAGAACTGTGAGTGGTCCATAATGGGCAGCTTGAACGTGTGGTCCTTGGTCGCTTCAGCAATGGCAATCTTCGCAATGTCCAAACACTTCACAAAATTTTGCAAGAGCAGATTCATGTGCATCTGAAGGGAACCAGAGACGGAGGAGTACATTACTGATCTCCACCAGTTCTCGTCTGCCCACTCTGCCACCGTCATATCTGCGTAACTCAAAACTCGCCATAATTCTGACAGTGCTTTGGCGCACATGCGGAGGCAGTCGTCCTTTGTGTGGTCCTTACGGAATGTATTCTCCAAATTGTCGAAAAAGTGTGAGAATGTTCTCGCAAGGAGCTCCCGTTGACAGTGATTGACCTTGATGTCCCTTTCTTGGATAGTCTTGATCACACCGCGACATAGGGCATAGACATCCGCCATAGCTACATACTCAACTACCTGAGAGTAGCGATCTTTCCTAGAGGTTGAGAATGCTAAATCCTTAAACCGTAAACCACCACGTTCTTTTGTGGCGATTATCGATCTCCGCCATGAACGACAGGACTAAGCATCCCAAGTCGATTGAGTATGGATGCTACAGGCTCTGAGAGACTGGACACAAGTTTACTCGCCGGAGGTAATGTTCCAGATAGTACTATTAGGAGTCTTTGGTATCGACATGAAAACTATTCACCTTATTCACCACTGAGGATTTCTTGGGAGTCTTGGTTGTCTACTGAGGAAAGTGGTTTTCGAATCTTTGTTGTTTCAAGAAACTTCTCTGACACTTTCAGGGGGACGGAAGGCAGTGAATTCAAGCGTTCGCATGTGTAGCAGCGTTACGGCGAATTCTCTCATATCCCATTCCCATCTAAGTTCACTTTCCTCTACATAACCAACTTCTACATAAATGCAATCCAAGCTCCTAATACACCAGTCAGTTGCGAGCGTTACCCGCATTGTAGTAGAAGTTCTAAAACTCCAATCGAGGGTTGATTATTCACCCATTTTGAATGATCTCTATCAGCTCCCCAACTCCCTGATTGCTTCAGATCGAGGCCCTATGGTGCTGTTACAGTGCGAGTAAACGAAGAGGGTGGCTCAGTCGCCGCAACCGTCTTTGAGCCTTTAATTCGTGGCCAAACTGCGCCATCTCTACCATACGTTCTCCGGAACAGCCACAGCTAAACTGCTTGGAAAGGATCACTGAAGATAATTGAATCATTTTGTGAAACCTTCACCACAACACGAGCAACGAATACCTGTCATCACCCGCTTCAGAGATTCATATCAATCTCTCGCATAAATAGGTACCACTAACCCCTCCACCCTTTGAAGCAGTTCAAGTTCCTTTCTAGCCAACACACCAAAATTGCCATGAATGAGACGAATTCTTCAGCCTGGTCTGTTTCCGCTATCTCAGATGATGGTTAACCCTACTTATTAGGAACCCACGTTCACAAAAAGTAACGCATTCCAGTATAGCCTCAGCAACAGCGTGACTCTGGAGAAGATGGACCCCGAACGAGGCCATGAGCTGCTGGTCAAAGTGAAGCGGCGGCTTCGCAACGTTTGAATCCTCAGCTACAGATCTCTGAACAGAGTGCATTGCGAAGTATCAAAACACTTGTACATTCGACCTGCAACTTCCCCGCTTCTTCCACAAGTGCAGCCTTCGCAAATGCCAGTAACTTGCCATCCGACAGCTCACATCACATAACTGGTTTCACAAGCGAGGGAACATTCTCTAGGACCAGTCCACTGGAGATCCAAGTGATGCTGTTCGGAAAGTTTGCAAGTAACCGCATTAACCCTTTTTAAATTACATCCTAGAATTGAGATTCTGGGTACTCTAAGAATGGGGAAATATGCCTAGATACTCCCGGGCATCTGCTCTGGAAAGAACCCCTCTACGACCGGCCAACCTGCTATCTCCGAAAGGATCATCAATATTATCGCCAGATCTTCAGGGAGAATGACAAATATAGCTGACAGATAGGGCTCCAAAGACGTAGGATTGTCTGCGGGATGCACGCTCGCATGTGCGGAGGGGCAATGCCTGGGGGAACCGACCTCTGGATTCTGATCAGCGGAGAATTAGAGCGTCTAAATTACCAATTTTAACTCAAGGTCCTGGAAAAGGTAAGGAAATCACCGTTTTTAATAGCGTCTTTTTGTTCCTCTGGATTCTTTTGGCTCCCGTTTGTTAGCTCTGCTGGTGCTGCGACGAACTCTACCAGGGCTGAGGAGGTTATCCCAAGCATGAAGGTAACCCTTAGACATGACGAGGCTTACAGAGCACTTGTGAATCCGTTTTCAGGAATGACGCATACAACAATTTTCTGTTTTTTTTTTTTTTTTTTTTTTTTTAATGGATTTTCCCTCTTTCCCTTTGACCAGAAATTGATCTGGAAGTGTCTCTTTTGATGACAGACAGGTATTGCAAAAATAGGGATACAGTTTTCTCATCCGCTTTGTCTGAAACCATTCGTGCCTGCAAGTGGGGCCAATTAGCTCGGGCCTATAACCACATTCCATGGTCATTCCTGAATATGCACTCTGGATCCTCTAATCCTCACGTGAAGACATGCATGTGGCCATTCTCACGTGAAGGATGCTGCAGTGCATGATTGCCATGTGTGCCGAATATGCTCTTGAACACTTAAGAAAACGACGGTGCAATCTGTGGGATAGACAATGCAATCCTTCCGAAGTTAGAAAGCAGTTTTTAACATCACAACAAGGGGTCGTGGAATTGAGCACATTACGATGTGCAGTAAAAAATGAAAACTTCTCGAGAGCTCAGGACTGGGGGTTCTCGTTCTTCGAAGTCCTTGCAACAGGTGCGTTCTGTTGGTGCAGAAACAATTTACAGGCACAAGAAAAAACTTGAACATAACATCGATTGTAGATTCCTGCAATCTTTGAGGTGTACTCAACGAGAAGTTTAGTTTCGAGTGATCTCCATGCTTACAATTTTATCGATAAAATTTTAAGAATGTTGTGAAGGATTGCGAATTCACTCAATGTGAGAATGGAGTGTCTATATCACTCCTACAAATGTAAAGAGTGCCTCTGAGGTGTTAGTTTTTGACAGGTTGTAATCGTGATAACTGCAAAGTATACTCACACTTCTTCTTGAATTTGCTCAGGATGTATTAACTAAATGTTAAATCCAAAATATACGTAAGATAGTATGCTTCATTCAAAAGATGTGGATAGTTCTCTTACCAATATATAAATATATATACAAAATCTACTTTCAAGCTGGGCTAAATCAGCAGATCTAGTAACCGCGAGGACGCAAACGCCAACTAATCGGGTCGCGGAGGTTTCCTAGTCACATCTGCGTCCTTAGATCTTATCGTCCCAAATAATAGACGGGGTTTAGTTGGTCTAAGAATGGAATGGAATTGAATACATGAAAGCTTGATTAAGTTAATGCCTGTCAGTTACTTGTCCAAGTGCTTTCGCTGTTGGTAAGTCTAGTGCTTATCATTTCCATTGCACAACTTGCAACTTGCACTGCTGCTCTGTATCCTCAAACAAGGACCCAGAAATACTCATGTCTTTCAAGGGCGTAGTCGGAGTCAAGTCACCGCGTCTAGTTATTCTGGACAGGAGCTGCTCTATAGATAAATGCTGGTTATTACCAACACCCAATATTACCGGCTTGTTTCCCAATCACGGTTGATGAATTGCACGTTAAGGGGCAGGCTCCTGCGGAGAGTTTGGAAACCCGAAGAGCCAGCATTGTCAGAACATCTTCGAGGATTCTTTCCACATTAGTAGGTGTCATTCGATGCTTCCAAGGCAGAGCAGTTTACTTCCACAAACTCTTTCACTGTCCATGATCAAATTATTTCTTTCATATTAAATAATGTCGTGATGCAATGTGAGCCTGCGAGGTATTCGGCGACAAGGTGCACTCAGTCGGCCTCAACGAGAGCTTAGCCTCCATGATAAGACAGTGTATATTTGCCCAGGTGTACACAAGTAGATTCATTTCGAGCAATTATGCATTTGGTGGAGTACGGACAAGGTGATATTCTGTACATCTACTGAACTATGGCTCTAGAAACCGGCTGGGGATTTCGCAACATAGTTTTACTCAGAACGAAGTGAAATAAGCGAAACTACCAAGACACTACCCTCGGGCACCATTTCGACGAATGCTGATTCTACAGCAGCTCAGCTAGAAGCAAACCCTAAAAAGTGCTCAATTTCACCACTAAAAACGAAATCCAAAAAGAGGACTTCCATCAGGTGAATATTCAGATCCATAAAACCAATTAGATGTGCTGGTGAGAGCCAGGAATCACACCGCCCTTGGACCTACTGGACTTGTCAGACTTGGGATCCGGCTGCGCAGAGTGTTTGAGGTTGCGTGGATCCCTTTTGGGATAAGTCAGCCGCTTCATGGTGGCGGGAGTCTTAAACGCACCCGGTGCAGTCAGCCTCGGCTTGGGCTGACTCCGAGCACCGGCCTTGTTCTTCACACCTTGAGTTTGTTGGAGGTGACCTGCAACAGTAGGCAGGGGCTCCACTTCCGCATCAACAATGGCACCATTCCCAACATGAATCGTGTTGCTGTGGCGCGTCCCGTCCTTGGGGTCCGTCAAAATGCTAGCTGTGGACCGACCTGTGGCTGAAAACTCACTTCCGGATCCCCCACGGTCGTCGAGATGGTCACTGCTACATCTGCTTCTTGGACTGCCGGCTCCGGACTTGGATCTATGAGGTGTTCCTCGACTGTTGAGCACCTGTGAGGTTCTAAGCGCACCCGTGTGAGCTTTGGGATGTGCATTCGCGAAATCGTTGCAGCTGGCGCGGACTTGAGGCGACACCGCTAGACTCATGCGTTTTGGGACCTTCCTCGCAGCATTTACGTCAACACTCTTGGATGTTTGATCATCGGGGACGTCCTTGAAAGCTGGAGGAATCTCAAACATGCGATTCTGCCATGGTCTTGCTGCTGTCCACCGTTCCACGTAGCTCCAACGCCAGTGAGGCTTGTCGGGTTCGCATTCGATGAAGAGAGGTACGACCTGCTTTGGTCCTGCCCGTCGGAGCTGCTGCATAATGCCGTTCACATTGTCGACATGAGCAACTTCTACATTATTATTCTCCGAGGCATATGTAGTTGGCACCATGAAGCATGAGTTATTTCCAATCATGAGTGGAGGGGGGTGATGGCAAAAAACAGTTAATAAACAATGAGGTGGGTTAAAATCACACACCTGCTGTGTTCGTGCGTAAGCCATGGCTCTTTCTCTTTTGAGCGCCGCTACTTGCCTCTCTTGTTCTTTAGCCTCAATCTGCTGAGCGCTTAAATTGCTATCGTTCCAACCCGTTTCAGTCAACCATTCCTAAGAATTGAAAAACATTGATGGTTATTCGAAAATGGATTATATGATGCTCCGGGCAAGAAATCAACGACTGCACTCACAATAAACATTCTGTGTTTTTCTACTGCCCTCAGAAGCTTTAAATTAAGACTGGTGGCATGCATGTATGTCTGAACTGTAAAACACTTTTCGATAAAACAATGAAAAACACTCACCGACTCTTTTCTGATTATTGGCTGGCTCTTCTGCCACACCTGATGCTGCACAGCCAGGCCGTCCTCGGACATACGAGCTTGATGAGTCCTAAGCCTGCCCTGAACGCGAGTAATGGCTTGTACAGTTCTCATTGTGGTATTTGCCTGCCGCATCACTCTGCGGCTTCGAACAAAAGCCTGAAGTCTGACCAAACCCCTCAAAGCACGTAAAGTTCTTCTTGCCTACAAGCACATTAATGAATTCATAGCAGTATGAGACAAGAACACTGAAGACATTATCCGTGCATCAAACAAGACACATTGGCAGCCACGAAACGAATTGATGAGAACACGACAATAATCAGGCAGAATGACTTATCCAAATTATACCAGGTGACCTCGGAAAGCAGTTTGAACAATCACTGCTGCCCATTCCTCTTGAGATGGATACATGAACATCGTAAATTTGCTATTGGACTGAACCGACGTTTCCGTTTGGGTGACAACCTCTTTTATGTCAGGCTCCTTGTCTTCCGAAAGGGCTACCTTGCCATAACTCCACCGTCGTGCCTTGCGTTTTGGCTTGTCCGGAATCTACAAGAAAAGAACTCATTATGAAGCATGCAAAGAGGATCAAAAAGCTTGCACAAGAAAACCTCGAGTATTCATATCTCTAGAACAACCTAGAAGTTCAAGCTGCTCTTCGACTGGATGCAAATCTTCAACAGCAATCCTCGCAATCAATTTCGGCCCTAAATGCACCACGGTCACTTGTTAGGGAACTTCAAAATAGATATGGTGCGTGAAAGGCGGCAAATATTACCACTGCCACAGGACGTGTATCACCGAAAAGATTCATATCTTTGGACTCAGATTCTTCATCATCTCCAGCCCTGATTGGAGATTTGAAAGCATTTTTGACAGAAGCAAGCCACTTTCCTTTCTTCCCCATCTTTCTGCATCAAATGCAATTATATACCATCCACATACTCTTGTGAACTCTTAAGATGTTGCAAAGCCGCAATTGAAGGACCAGAAGGAAGCACTACACAATATAAACCTGCGGTACCAAAAACTAGAGGGAAGATTGCAGCTCAATCCACATGAATCAACGCCCAAAAAGAGGGGAAGGTCCCTTTGTCTAGCGATCATAACTGCAATTGACTAGAATACTCCACATCGTTGATGACCTTTACATGAATCTTCAACGAAAACTGCTCATATATTCATTGAGTAAGTGTTTGATACACGAAATTCTTTAAAAAACAATCCGGATATAGGGGGTCGTATTTGGAGGTAACAGAAAATCACCTGCTAAGGGTATGATATGATTATGCTTTACCTCGTGGAATTCATGACTAAAAGTGCAGGGGATGAGGAAATGAGAAGTCACTGAAAATACCCACCAGGGGTTCTGTTAACCTTTAGAAGCGCTTAATAACTGGAATCCACACGCAGGTTTCCGAGGGAGCATCACCTATTCCCTTTATATCCGATCTGAGACTTCTGTATTTATATCACCACTTGATGTACAAGTAACATAAGACACCAGAAGTATTCATTACAGAAAATCTACCGAGTGGCTTTGAAAGGACGCATCACTGAATGCTCATTATAAATATCTGCAACATATTTCTCAGCTTGCAAATGACTAAGAGACACTGTAGAACTTACGTAATATGACTGCTGTAAGAGACAGCCTCAAGTAAAGAAGCATGACAAGCAGGTAAGGAGGAACTCTCAGGTACAGAAATGTGACAAGCAGGTCAAAAGCTGCTCTGAGGTACAGAAGCAACAAAAACAAGTGGAAAAAGTTACCAAATGCGTGAAACATCTATGAAACAAGAGGATAAAGACAGTACAGACCGCAGAGTATACTATGTAGCTTAAATAAACTACCCATAATGCAGTATGAAATATAACATCCAACCAAGCAGAATCGAAAAAGTGAAAAGCACAAGCCATGCGAAATACTAATGGGTAATGTCCTAGAACCTCTTTATCGAACATGTCTCAGAAAGTGAAGACGATGTAATCATAGCAATGCAGGAATTATGTGTAATTTAAAATAAATAAAAAACCACTTCGATATCAACTTGAATTTCAAAAGGGTGCGCTTCCCACCTACATCCCCGTGATCCGCACAGCAAACTAGTAACACTGCTCTGTCTCTGAACCACCGAGTTCCTCGGCTTCCATTACAAGGTGTCTAAACTATTCATGTCACAATGTAGCTAACTCTTTCGCTGTAAACCGTTATCAACTTGTAGAGGACAATTAGATATGCTGATCACCAGAATGCGATTTCGTAATCCACGCAAGGTTCGGAGGTTCCTCAAGGAAAACAGGTTGTAAACTTTACCAACACGACAAACAATTGGAGAAGAATGAAGAACTGCAGCATTAGGATTGAGGTATATCTCCGACCGAAAGATACTACTCCGTGAAATACCAGCATAACTAGCGGGTATCGACGGCAGGTTTCACAACGAAAAGCCACATCTGAATCAAAATGAGACGATTAGCAGGACAATCATCTTTGCTTGAACCGAAAAATATTATCGCCTTAGAAGACTACCAGTGAACTTGGTTGAGATTCTCTCAAAGTTGGAAAGCAGCCCACAGCTCACCCTTCCTGCATTCAGCAGCCGCAAACCGTGTCTCCGACTGCTGCGTCACGCGTAACGCGATCGTAGACGCACACAATGTCGCACAAGCACTCTTCACCTGAAATTCCTCCACACGAATTCGCGAACCCCTTTTTAACAAAAACCCCCACTAATAAATGTCGCCGAAACCGCCAGCAAAGTTAAACCACAGTCGCCACACTCTACATTTTCTTCCAACCAACTCAATCCCCGCCGAGCACAGATACCCGCAACTGCAACCCCTACACCACTCAAATCTTCCCCGGTCTAAACCATCGTCACACTCCAAACACCAAAACAATAGCCAATTACTGTTCCAACTCACAGACGAAGCTGGAGCTAGTTGAACCTCGACTCGATTCGACTCGACACATGTGCTCCAAATCACCAGGACTGTGCGTACAAGCTTCCGGAGCTAGTGAGAACAAAGGCTATGATGGGGAGTGATGAGGATCTGCACGGCGACTGGTCGTGAGCTCCAGGGGGAGTCAGGCAACGTAGGAAGTACAAGAGACCAATGAATCATGAAAAATGCGGGAACGGCAAGCAGAGAGGCTAAACTTCACGGCTGCCGTGGAGGTGGCTGGCTCCGCCACCGCAGAACAAAAGCAGTATTCTTTGACCAACGCACACCCTGCACTCCCTGTCTCCGAACATGTACACGTGAGTTTTGCTCTACATATCTACTGCTTATCTCCCGGAACTTTACTACACTCCCGTGTGCAGTTCGCTACGATCCTCGATACCCACAAAACGAAAATGGTTTGTACTTGGTGGCTCGGGGTGATTTTTCGCGAAGCTGTTCTGACAACTTTACTGGAGCTCGTAACAAACTTCGGTGCACAATTTTCGAGCCTTGATGAAGGCTGACCGAAAGTTCACAGCTTCTGTTGACAGATTGTGGACTTTGCAAGCAACTATGAAGCATTAACGAGTAAAATATTCACTGGTTGACGGACTTGAGTTGGGTCTTTCATTTCCTGCTCTTTCACTCCACTTACCGAAACGAGTGCTTCCTCTCTGGAATTACTCTGAAGAAAAACTAGATTCAGCCCTTTGTCATAGATAAATCCCAACTAGCACTCTTCACACCCACACTCACACACACTCAGTCACTCACTCAGTTCATAGACAACTTACCCGAAGCTACTGGATTCAGTGTGATTGATCTCATCTGCTGCCCAGGCAATGCTCCGCCCCCATCTAACTTTGGATTGTTGCTCTCAAAATGAGAGTTATACGCAGTCGATGTCATTGCAGGTTATAAACGCACGATGCTCCGACATGGTGTCTATCAAAAGCCAAAGATGGCACATTCTGCAGCACCGACTATAAAGTTTAAAGTTATTCCTCATATATATATATATATATATTGATTTTGTGTGTGTGTGTGTGTGTGTTTGTGCGCGTGCGAAGAGAATAATATAATACATATCACTTCACACTGGAACACATGACTTGTTGATGATGATAAAGCCATTGTATACTGTGAATTGATACCTGGGTGTCAACTTTTTTCATCCTTTTATGTTGAACTGCTTGCTTGTTGTAGTACATTTTTGTTGTGGTGGCAATATTGAGGAAAATAATGTTTTAAAGCACTCTTGTGCAAATTCTGTGGATTCTTGTACAAAGTTAGACTTACGAAATCAGTTCAGAAAATAAAAGTAATAAAGTATTTTTGTAAAAAGAAAGGTTTAATAATAACATATGGCAGGGGTACTTCAGTCACTCTATTTTTGCCATCTGTGGATATTTCCCCTCCAATGATTTCATTTACTTTGGTCATTCGTTTCAAAAAAATTAGACATTGTAGCATGCCTTTTAAAGAACAACAATAATCATTTGTGTTTTGGGATTTTCAGTTGTTGATTTCAGTGCTTCTTGTGCTGATTACGTGCATTTCATATGTGTACAAGCAATAACAAAATTCCATGCGAAAAGTATATTCTTTTAAACATAGTAAACATGTAAAAATATTACTATTTTATAATTTATATTTGCTTCTATGCCTACATACATACACAATGTATATATTATACTGATTTTGTTACTTGAATAAAAGAGTGAAATTTTATAATCTATAATTAGTCAAACCACATCATCGATTCAATACGATTTACAGAAGACTAAATAAAAATTACGTTATAATATTAAAAATAATATAAAATAAAAATGACACATTACAAACTTATATATATATATATATATATATATATATAATGATAATATTTATTTTATTCATAAGGTGCACATTTTGTATATGTATATGTATCTGGTAAATTTTTTAAATTAATATAGGATGGTTATAAATATTGATGCACACAACATTTGTGTTGTGCTCCATATTGATTTTGATAACTTATTTACACAAACTATCAAACTTTCTGTTTTATATGTATGTTTTGTTGAGTTTTTTAGGGTTTTATAATCATGTTTTTTTAACAATGCAAAAACTTTGTAATTTTTTTACTACAGTGTTCCTTAACCCCTTCTAGTGCAGTATTATTAAATTTGCACTTCAATGATATCCAAGTCCATTTTTTTTTTTTTTTACTTTACTTTATACTAATACATGATTACATTCAAATGATTTTGAAATTCGATAAATACATGTAGATTTCATTAATGATGGATCATCATGTAAATTATAATTTTTGTAAATCTGAACGTAAATTTAAACTCAATCCAGTCTTAATTTGGGTTTCTGATACAAAAGAATGATTTTACTTTAAGAACCAAAAGCAAGAGTTTATGCTAAATTTTTTATTTTCAAAGATGAATTTTTGTATTTAAAGAACACCAATTTATTATACTTTTACAGATAACTTGTAACGTTTGATTTTTGTACAAAAACTATCTTTTGTGTGGAGTTTTTGTCACATAGCATATGTAAAAAAAACTTTTTTGATGTATTGGATGATGATTGTCAAATCATAAGATTATTTGGTGTCTTTCGAATATATGCCACTTCTTGCTTTTGCTTGCTTTAGAAGATTATACAATAAATAAATAAATAAATAAATGAGTGCTTTTTAAAACAGTTATATATTCAATTTATTGTGCTTTTACCTTGTTGTGGATATTATTAAATATTCTTAATGTATATATGTTTGTGTGTGTGTGTGTGTATATATATATATATATATATAGTCAAATGAACTTTATTGATTTTTATGCAAAAATTGTCATTCAAACTGCAATAAAAATAGAAAAATAAAACGTCATTTTTATCAATATAGTACATGATTCAATTTAATATAATTTGACATAATGTGTGTTACTTTGTTGATGTATATTATTTTTATTTAATGTTTTTTTCTTTTTATTCTTTATGTTTATTAAACTCAGAACATGCTTCTATACAAGGTTTTGAATCATCTTTTTTGGTTTCTATCATCATAATATTTAAAAAATAATAATGTGCATGTGTGTTTCATATTTATTTTAAGTGTTTATCATTATTGATTGAATTATTATTTGTAGTGTTATCTTTGGCAATTGCTTGAATTCAAGGACAATTCTTTCAAATTGTACCACAAACTTTTAATTTATTCATATTTATATTTATATTTATATTTATTAAACATAAAAGATAGAATTAATATTATTATTTTTATAATTTTATAGCATTTATGTTACATTGAGTGAAGTTTTTAGACAAAAAGCTTAAAAATATAAAAACATTTATAATATTTTATTCAACAATTTGACCTATCTAATAGACCAAAAGAAAAGTTACGAATTTTTAGATAAATAACAATGTAATTATTTTGTAAAATCCAACAATAACTGTTTTAAAATAGCTCAAACCAAATGATTCCAACACATCTTTATTATTAAACCACAATCTCTACTACTACTACTACTACTACTATATATCTATCTATCTATCTATATATATATATATATATAACCTCTATTTTAAAGTTTCGAACTCAAAAAAGAAACCATTTTTATTCCATTGAATTATTCCATTAAATCTCACAGAAGGTTCCACACAGCAATGTTTACCATGACATGAGAGCTTCGTGCAAAAACGGATAAAAAATTGTGAATGCTCCTTTTCCATCCGTTTCAATGCCCAACCAACAAAATTTAGCACAAAATACCATTCTACAATGAAACGATCCACTATAAAAGCAAAATATTTTTTTAAATAGTGTTTTGATATCTCTACAAAATACGTGGGGGACGAAAAGATGACAATAATGGGCACAAGGGCCAACCTTATACTCACACAAAGGTAGATTCACCCACAATTATTATCGTCATTGCTTATCAATTATGGGTACATTGTGGGACAACTTTGGGAGTAAGAAACAAAAGAGAGTAGCATAAAGGTTTCATTGAGCCACCTCCAAAGGGTACCACAATTTCACTGCATATTCTTCACACTGTACACCAAATATTCTCGACATATTCCACTTCGGTTTAGATACCCGGGAGACCAAGTTTCTCGCCGGGTATAGACTTCTCGCGGCTTGCAGCTTTGGCGCTCTCTCCGAAGCCGATGGGTTGCCCAGAGAGCCTTAGCCATGAATTTGTTGGCTGTGGAGCTTCGTCACGCGCGACCTGTTCAGATTGCTGCTGCCATCTTCTGGTAGTTAGTCGTCATTCGCTATTGATTCTAGTTTTAGGGTTTTTGCGGATTTTTTTTTTGGTTGGTTTCGAAACATTTATGTGGTTGAGGCTGGGGAGTGTTTGTTGAGGGAGGGAGGGAGGGGTCGGATTAAGGAGGACTACTACACAATGGCAGCGTTATGTAGCAGCTCATTCTCGGCGTCCCTCTCACTTGGGTCTTCAAGGATGAGCGCCACTTATGGCAGGAATAGTTGTTGCGAAGTGGGAATTTTGAGGTCTGTGGGTGTTTCAGATTCTGCCCGTTCCATCGGTCGTGTTAGTGTTGAATGTTGTAGGGATGTGTCGATGCTACGGCCTCGTGTTCAGAGGTTGTCGTCATGGCCTTGCGGAGCGCGGCGGAAGTCGACCAGCACTGTGGAAACTGATCCGGATGTGCTCGATGATGAAGACCTCCGGGCGGGTCTAAATGAAGTAATGTCTACATTCCCCTACGAATCGTGAGTTCAATTTTGTGAAATTTGTGAATAGAATGGAGACATGGTAGTCATGTCTGCGAGAATTTCATTGCCGTCAAATCTTTAAAGAGTGGCAATGCGGGGTTCTTGCGGCTCTTCAAACCAGAACGAGTGGTCTTTCATGAGAGAGTGTCAGAGTGTTATTCCACTACTGACCAGTGTTGTTGCTGCGACACTGTGAATTTAGCACTATGGGTTGCTGCTGCGCCAATGGATTAGGGTTAATCATTTTAGGGATTGTATGTTTATAAGATGATTGTTATGGAAATGGGATTACTTCCACATGGGATGTTGAGCTCGAAAGTTGAAGTTTGGCTGTGAAACTTGAAACTTATTCCACCGCTTCATTTTCTCACTGGAGGTACTTGCCTCCTCGACATTTTTATGGTTGCAGACGGTAACAGAGGCATTGAAGGTTATGTTGGCGGAAGATGACAAAATGCTGGAAAATTTCAAAGATAAGGTGGATCACGTGGGGGAGTTTTTAGTTCAAAATGATCAATTAGAAGCGGCGCGCTTCCTGTTGATTCTCAGAGGCATGCTTGATCACGAGGTAAGAAACAAAGACGTCTTCAACAATCAATCTTTTCAACAATCAACGTAACAGTCGTAATGGTCCGTTCACAAAATCTAAACCCCTCAACTCTCATTCGAGAAATGCCCTTAGCTGTCGAACTGCCTCTCCGTTGCAACTTTCTTTAATTTCCATATTATTTATATATTTATTTGTAACTTTGATGACTGTTGGGGTGCAAGTGTAGATTTACCCGCAGTGTGAAGAGTTGGAAGGGCCTTACAAGAAAGCCTTCTACTCCATGTGGTCTGTCCTTGAAGATTCAGGATGGCTTCTCAAGCAACCTGGCGCCGAAATCCCCGAGGTATAGTTGCTATCGGTGCTTTTCTTGCACATACTCTCTACAAGGAGCATCTCATCCTTCAAAATTTTCATCTTCATTTTTTAATTCATATCCTTCGTTCCCTGTCACCATCAAGTTTGCAATAACAACTGATAATACTCGGAGCGGACAAACTGGTGCGGAAGAAAGGTTAACAAATTCAGCACCTGATATTGATAATATGTGATTCTGTGGCAGGTGGAGGATGACTCAGGGGAAGCAGAACTGGAAATCAGATTTAGTTGATTGAACTAGGCAAATATTGTTGGTAGTATGTGCAGAGTGTAAGTAAACGACGTCGCTGAGATGGTCAGCCAAGTTTTGATTTCAAATGAATCCGTTTTCTGGACTTTTAGGATTGCTCACATAAAATGTTGCACTTTTATTTCCTAAGATGAGCGCTAGTTGCGAGTGTGAGTCACTGTCGATGGGGTAGAACATGTGAAGTGACGGAGGTCGTTATTCACAACCCCGAAGACAACGAAGCTCTCCAGTACAGTATTGTCAAATCAAAAAATGAGTTTAGATTTGAATTCCACGTTTCTACACATTGGCGGTATTTCTGAAAATAGTACTGGAAAATTGACTTTCAGTAAATCATATTGTCGTCTGCACTACCTTCCTTTTACATGCAAATGTAGTGAGTCCACAGCCCGCAATAATTAGGTATGAAAATGCTTGATAATTCATGAATGTGTGATCATATCGTACAATGGCATAGCGTGAATATCTTTCTCTACTGCGTAGCTTAGACTAAAGTGGCCGCTTGTTCGGCATTCCTGCTCTCCGAGGATATTTGGCTGGTGTTGGTTTATCTTTCAAACATACGACTGCAGTCCGTTGTCCAAGAGGACCTTCCGAATCAACTGTATTCACGTATCACAATACATGAAAGACCACATATTAGCTCTCTGCAGCCCACCTCGATGAATAAATGTGCCGTTACTAAATTACAGCAATCCATTAAATCAGCAGCTTGTAACATCAGATCGAACGTAAGTTGTGCGTTCAGAATGTGATAGAACTTGTTACCCCTCAATGAAAAATCCTTGACATCCATAGCTGCACATGAAGATAATCAAATTGCTAGATTTCTACCATCCCCCATCAAAACCAGCTCGTTAACTTTATGGAACTTCATCATAGGCGAGAAATTACCTTTGGACAACGTTATAATAGATGCTCCAAGCAAGTCCACAGCTGTTTTGGCAGCTTCAACCTCCTCCTGGTCAATTCCCCATCAACTCATGATGACCAATGTGTTTGCCGTCTAATCTAAGATTTGGGAATAACAAAAAATACTTGCTCTTGCCAAAAACCAAAAAGATGCACCAGGATGAATACCATGTGCTAGCTGACTAGTATAACCACAATTTTGCGTGCCTTGAATCTTAATGAAACATGAAATAACAAATTAAGGCAATTACCTCGGGGTTGGGGCCTTTTGCAGCAACTAGAATGCCACCGACTCGAACGAGAGGAAGACACAATTCCGCTGCAAGGAAGGAAAGTTTGGAACACATTGCAGACAACTCCTTTAGAGAACAATATTATTTCATTCCGCCATTCAGCTTACGATGACCCACTAAATTAACTGAAATACGAACTATTACAATGCATGTGTATTTAAGACTAACACGATTTGAAAGTGAGGCTTTTGAATTCTTAGCTTACCAAGAATCCTCATCTCTGCTACAGCTCTGGCTACAGCAATATCGTACATTTCTCGATGGGTACTATCCTTGCCTGCATCCTGCAGACACCGTTTAAGAACAACAACCCAACTATAAGCCCATGACTCAGTAACCGTGAAACTTGGTAAATCGTCTTGAGCACAGAAAACGTTAGTGAAAGATAAGGTTGCCATATTCGAATCAGCAACGCGCTACCAACAATGTACCTCTGCTCGGCTCCTCAGAACTTTGACATTTGTCAAACCAGCTGCCTCAGCCGCACGTTCCAGAAAGTCGCACCTCTTTTGCAGTGACTCGAGAAGTGTTAACTGCCAGGCTGCATTGATGTTTTCAGCCATAGTAAGATGTGCGGCACCAAATCCAGTTCAGCACTGTGTCATTGCCAATACAGAGACAAAGGGGACTTGATAAAATTGCATAGAGAATGAAGATTAGCACACGCCCACAACATAGCATACGAAAAGATCAAATTGATTCATTCCCCTTCCTATTTAACAGGCCAATTCCTGTTTTTTATCACAACAAAATCCCAAGAATAGTCTAGACTTAAAATGAAGGCCAACGAAGGCGTAAAGGATTGTGACATCAGAAGAGTGAGAGTTAAACTAAAAAGCAATGGTATTATCTTCAATGTTGCAGCATATGAAATCGCCAAACTCTCAAACATAGTGCCAAGACTGCATGTCCATAGGTATAAGCAATTCACCTGGTCGAGCTATTGCTAACACAATGCCAGGAAGGCCTGCCCCACTCCCAATGTCAACGACCTTGATCGACTCCCCTGCGGAGGATTTGCAATATGCAGCATGCGCTCCCTCAATTATTGGCAACAGTGACAGGGAATCAGCAATATGTCTATCCATCATGGCTCCTCGTTCCGTCACAGCAGTGAGATTCATTTTCTGCACTCGCATATCTGGGTTAATTCCCTTACAAACCGCATGTCTAAACAGCATCGCATCCTACCCTAATTGGAAACTCCATCAGCGAGTGCCAAAATAAACCAAATGAAACTACCGGACAGCGACATGATTCCCAAAACCAAGTAACCTACTCATTCTTCCACGCAAGCTTTTTCAGAGGTCACTAAAATGACCCAAACAATCCAAACATTGAAAGAGCACAACAGAGGCACCCGAGCTGAACCATAAGTACCTGGTTCCATTCAAGGAGAATGTCCACGAACACGGCCACCTGCCCGGACTGCTTGGCATCGAGCTCTTCCACAGCAGCAGCACTCCTACAGCTCAAGTGAATCTTTTTAGCTCTATAATCCCAGTGACTCTTCTTCGGGGCTGAAGTCCGAATTCCATTGACTCCTCGACTGGAAATGCCACAACAAGGAATGGATCTGTGCAGCGCAATTCGTACAAGTCCACAGGAAGCCATGCTTCCGCCGTGTGAAGAAGACACGGCAACAAAGGATGGTTACCACAGCAATTCAACCCCTAAACCCTAATTCTCAGAGTGTGGGTTGTGAAGCACATGAGACGTTCCACCAAATGCCTCCCTTGCAGCATCAAAGCTGGACATATCAACTTCTGGAAGATGACAATTTCTATGTGGGTCGAAAATAAAATTTGCTCAAGTGTCCAATGTGAGACCCATTTGTCAATGCAAAACTTCAAGGTTGAAATATATTTGAAAACGTGTGTTGGATGCCTTTGTTTCATCGTACTCCACACTTGCGCATATAAAAGGATATGGTTTTCTTTTTAATGTTTTCTGAGTATCTTTTATTAGAAAAGAATGTATTGGATAAAATTGAACCCATAAATTTAATGTGATTTTAGAGATGTATGCTAAGGTTCATAGATATCTGAACCTACTGGTGTTGTGTTGTAAATAATGTTTGAACTTTTCAATGTATTTTGATCATATTAAGAAACACTGTAAAGTTTTTACTAATTTTGTTACTAATTTTGTGCTTGCATTCTACACTAACGTTTTTTTTAGTAATTACAACATTTTAGTTTAAGTATTTTTATAGCCACTATTCTATATTATTTAATTTTATTCATATAATACAATCCTAAGTGAAAATGTTGTTTTTGTTGTTTATTTTTTATTTTTTTATAAAATTAAAAAACCATGTAAAATATTAATTAAAAAACCAATATTAATTAATTAATATTTTGTATCCAATGTTTTATTTTGACTTTTTCTCATTTTATAATAATCTATTTTAATATTCAAAAAATTTAGAATTTTTATTATATATTTTTTATTTAATTTAATTTTATATTTTTTTATTATATCATTTAATATCATTTTTAACATTAATATAAATTATTTTTATTTCTTACTTAATTTTTTTATTGTAATATGTCATGTTTATATTTCTTATAAACTTGTATTATTCAAATATCAAAGTTACATCTAAAATTTAAAAAATACAATTCATCTTAATATTTTTTGAGATTTTCAAAAGAACTAAATCATACCATAAAAGCAAAAACTAACATAAATCTAGTTTTTTTCTTTAATAAGATCATCTTCTTCAAATGTTGTTCAAGGACTGTTTACAATGTGGTGCACACAACTACTTCTAAAGTTGATATCATACATAAGAATTTCATTTGTTGCACAAATGATGACCACCAATCAATCTCATTTTCATCTGGTGCATAATCAAATCCTTGCAAATAGAGCCTTGCCTAGTCTCAATCTTAGTTTCTTGCCTTACCTTTCTATCATTGAAGGCTTTGTGCCTTTTTTCATGCACACATGCCTACAATCTATGACTTTGCTCTATTTGGTGGAAGTAACACCTTTGCTAAAGTGGTTGATAGAGATTTCTTTGCCTTGCTTGCTTCTTATAGTAAATAGTCACTTGTCTAAATTTGCATGGATGAAGGAGTGGTTTACTACAAGTCTGGTGAATTGAATGGATTGCAATATAAGTACAAATATTTGATAATAGTATCCTTAAGGTAGAGTTGATTTATTAGTTGAGATTACAAGGATGTTACATGGATAGTTTGGATTAACAATAGCTTGATTTGTATGTATTTATTGGTAAATGTTTGCACCTTGGCTTAAGTTGCAAAGTCACATGTTTTGTTGAGTTGTTGGGCAATTGCTAAAATTATTTCTATATTAAATATTTCTTTGAGGTTTATATTTTATTAATTTTCTACTTGATTTAATTTTTCTATTTTTTAAAATTTTTAAATTGGCCATCTAAAACTTTGTTTTGGCCCAATTTTTATATTATAGATAATTTGAAATAACCTCACTTATTACAAATATTTATTTTTTACATTAAAACACATTACTATTATTGAGTTGAAGTGGTGGCTATTAGTTTACATGATTAAAAATATGCATTGTATTGAATCATTCCAAAACATATGCATCAAAGATAGCAATGTACAAAACAATACAATCTACATAATATCTTTACATCCCTATGTAGAGATAAGAGACATTTGAAAGCCTTCATCCTCCTTAAATACAATCTAACATCCTAATCTTAATCTTCATCTATTTTAGTCTTCATCCATATTAGTCTTCATCCATCATAATTTATCTATTGACTAAACATAATTACTACATATAAAATAATAACTACAAAGATTTTATTAGATAATAATAGGCTTCATTGGTCTACTTTCTTAGTCTACTAATTATCTGATTAATAATTGTTACCATTAATAAATCTTTCTTTGTACCAACATTGATAATTTTTATTCTTCCAAAGACAATGTCAACTCCAAAGTTTGCCATCTTTGGATACTCTATCTTAATTTTTAATACAAAATTAATGAACTTGTTGTCATCTATTTTTTTGATAATTTATACTTAACTATTGCCTTGCCTTATTCCATCTATCCTAACTTGATCTATGAAACAAACTTTGGCTATTTTATATCACATTTACTCTTTGTTAACACTTATTATTTTTGTTATTTTTTACTTTTATTTCTTTTAACTTTTCTTGTATATTTTAACATGGCAACACTATGTCCTTCTTTTCCTATTACATCTACTTAATATAAATCCATCAAGTATAAAGAGTTGCATACTTTGGTGTATTATCTAAAAAAATTCAAAGAAATTTAACCTTAATACATATATTATATTTACTTACTCAATAACTTAGTAGATTAGAAAGTGCCAAGGTAGAAAGAGTTACTTTAAGATAGCGCTGAGCTTTTGGTTGTCACTAATTACTCAATTAAGTTTCAAGATAAGAAAGTACTAAGTTTATATATAAAATTTTCCTTGTAGGAGTAATTATATCAATACTGAAGCCCTAAGTACCAAAGAACATCCAAAATGTGATAAAAATATTCTACACCCTTATATCCTTGAGGATTTAAGGTGATTTTTTCTCAAACTTCAATAGCTCATATTTCATGATCAAACTATCCAAACAAACTAAAATTTTACATAAAGTATTGATATATCTTAAATAATTACCAAAACAAATTTCAACTACAAATTTGTTAGGAATCTTGAGATATTGCCAAAACCCTAATAGTAGATTTAAACCCTTACTTATTTACACTTGCATGCAATTTTCTTCATATCTCACAAAATAAGTATTCAAATACCATAAAATTTTGATATATAGCTTTTTAATCTAATAACTCATACTTTTGAAAATTTTGAGCAAAACATTTGTCCAAAAACTCAAGATATGGTTCCAACCATTACTATCAACAAAACAATTCACTTACCACCTTTGAATTATATAAGTTGTCTTCAATTCCCTATAACTTCTTTATACAAACTCCAAATATAACAATTCTTTTACAAAAAGATATAGATTTTGAAATTTCCCTTGTAGTCACTTCTTTCAATTTCTAAAAGCTATTGTATGACTCTTTGTATCCTCAAAAGAGCAACAATATGTCTTAAAAAGATATCTTAACTTCAAAGGGCTATAACTTCATCACCCTAACTCCAAACCTTCTAAACTTTGTGTACAAATTGTAGTCCAAATCTTAAACCTTAGGACCCTTGGTTTTGATTCTTCAATGCCCCTTTTGAAGCTGCCAAAATCCTTCTTATGGTCGTGGATAGCCTCTTGAAAGCCTATTGGGCATGGCTTTCAATCAATAGAGATGAAGACCCTCACTCCTTACCTTTATCCATCCATAACTTACTTTCATCCTTCCAAATAAGCTTCTTGGAGGTTTGGATCTTCATCTTTGAGCTCCAATCTCCTCTTTAAATTTAATACTAAATATCTAAATCTTACATAATTTAAATATTATAATCAAAATAAGTAAACTTCAAAATAAATTTTCTTACATCAACTTTCTTTAAATTAATCTACTAACCACTTTAATATACATTAACACTTATGAATATATGATATATTTTAATTAATTTTTACATACTATAAACAATTATAGTACAATAACGGATCCTATCAAACATGTATATGTAAAAACTTATAGTATTAATTCAATAAAGTTTATCAATTTTTTAGAAGTTGATTGAAAAATTACAACAATACCTTAAATATACTTTATCAAGGAGTTTATCAATATATCTATCAACCAAGACGAGTATATTACAAAGTGCATTAATAATAAAATAATACCTATTACATCCAATTTTCTTATCATTAAGTTATTTTTATTAACTACTAAATTACATTTACTTATGAACTAGACTTATTCTATTTTATTCAACAAATATGTAAGATTCCACAACTATACTACAAATATTTAGTATATCTTCCAAGGCTTATTTAAAGATAAAATTTTCAAAGACACCTTTATGTAAGTATTTTACTTCAAACATAGGTTGTTGATATATTTTGTATTGTCTTATTTAGAAATGCACTATATACTTGGCCGTGGAAGATAAAATTATATTTTGTAACAATCTAAGAATCCTAATATATCCTAATGAAATTCTAAATAAACCTAATTGAATCCTATTAAATCTAATTTAATCTTAAAAAATCTTTAAAATTCTAAATATATCCTAACTAAATCTTAATTAAACTCTATTTAAATCCTAAATAAATCCTAAAATATCTTAATCAAAATCCTAATCAATTTTATATTGACTTTGTCATATAATCCCAACTTTAAAATTTTGAAGCAATCTTTTGCACCTCATCAAACACCCTTGGTTTTAACAACTTCACAATTATGTTCCAAATCTCCTTGGATAACTTTAATTCTTATGACTACATACATACATATATGAGTTTATTTATTTTAAGAATTATTTGGTACCTTACGATTGCATCCGTGAAATGTTCGATCCGTTCCTAAAACAGGATTATTCTGAAGATTGTTCCTGCAGAAGCTCAATGAAGGGCCTTTGATTGAAACATGCTCGACCTACTCCAGGTCGGGGGGCGACCTCTGCTGGGCTCCATCTCGTGGCCCAGGTATGAGGTGGCTGCGGACAAACTGCTGGACGCGGCTTGCTTGAATTTTACATGACCCACAGGTTTCGTGGAAGAAGCTGGAGCCCAGATTCTGGTGTGGACACAGGCAAAGCAGTGGATGATGCTATCGATGTATCATTCGTCATCTGGATGAGGGCCACCAATCAGTCCCCTTCTCATCCTTGGCGTGACTGGTTCCTAGCACTCACAACCCCGTTGGCCAAAGCCTTGCCCTCGCTGACACTTTCAAGCCCTCTCGCTTCCACTCCCGCGCACATGCTGTGACATTGCTCTGTTGTACACGAGTTACGCCGTGCCTAATTAGCTGCTTCGGTCCTTTCTGCGCACGTGCAGATGCTGTGACGTTGCTTTGTTGTGTGCGAGCTGCGCCGTGGCTAAACAGCTGCTGTCGGTTTCTGCACTCTGCGTGCTTCTTCTTTACGTAGCCAGCGTCTAAACCAGCCCGGATTGAGGAGTGGCTTGCAGAGGACTCGGTGGATTGAGTGGACTGAAGCAAGTGCACAAGTGTTTGAGGACAGCATCGCGAAGGTCAAGCCAATCCGTAGGTTGAGATGACGGTAAGTTTGCTTGGACGGTGTGAATGAACAGTTGCTCTGCGGAAGTGCGTGTGTCGGGAAGGGTTTGCATGGAGGCTGTGGGAGTGCATGTGGGGGTGAGGGTTTGCATCAAGGCTGGATTCGCAGGTTCACATCTTTGGGCGAACTGTGCAGCGGATGCTCCACGGGGCTGAAGGAACTGTGTTTGTCCAGTGTTTGAGGACAGCATCGTGACGGTCGAGGTGATCCGTAGGTTGAGGTGACAGTAAGTTCGGGTGGACGGTGTGGATGAACAGTTGCTTTGTGGGAGTGCATGTGGGGGGTGAGGGTTTGCACGAGGGCCGGGTTCGCAGGTTTACATCCTTGGATGAACTGATCAGCGGTTGTTCTACTCCGCTCTGAGCTTTGTATTCTTTCTGGTCCTCATAGTTCGGTTGCAAAATACAAAACCGTCTGAGTTTCGCCGCTTCTTTCTTTTGTTGGCCGTGTGTCTTGTTCTTTGTTGAGCTGTTGGGCAGGTGCTCAGTTGGGTTTTGTACATTGCTCTCGTTGGTGCAAGCAGCGCCGTCGGTGGAGTAGTTGACGAATGTTGCTTTGTCTCGCCTCCCTCGTGCCAAAAGTGTGCAATTGTCTAAGTCCGCTTGGGTTTGGGAGTGGTGTGCTGAGCGTGAGGTGGATTGGATGGATTGCAGAGTGCAAGTAATTGAGAAGAGCATTCTCAGGGCCGAATTGACCTGGTGATTGAGGTTACAACGGGATTTTGCGACGGTTCGGGTGAGGAGAACCTTGGTTTGCGTGCATTTGTCGGTAAGGGTCTACGCCTTTGCTTGAGTTGCAGAGTCTAGTTTAGTTACTTGTTTCTTTGGCGTTAATATCTAATGCCCACATCTTAAACAGGTGGGAGGGCTAGTTCCTATTTACGAATTTGAGCTTCTTACAGGATTGGTGTTCATATCTTTTATAAATTATGGCCGGGTTGGAGCGTACAGATTGTATTGGAGGATTAGCCGTGCCAGAAGCCCGTGTTTTGGGTAATGCTCCTCACTTTAAAATTAATATGTATTGCGTGCGAAATTGTTTCAGTGTCATGGTTGCAGTGTCGTGCTTTTTGTAGTATCATAGATTGCACAATTCACTTTGAGCATCCTTTTGGTTTTCCATTGAAGTATATAATTGTGTGTTAGTTTGTACAATGTCATTTTCATCGTCTTGACAGCCATAAATTTTAGTCCATGGTTACTGGATTTGTGCAGATCGTACTCCTGGTGCAACTGAATTGAGCAAGTATTTAAAGCTGGAGTCAGACTTAAAAATTGCAACTCAATGTATGGAAAAAGTGCAAGAGTGGACCTCACCAAGAGAGACATCAAATGCACTGAAATTCAACAAGAAGCAATGTGAATATTTAGCTAATAAACTCAAGCGCACTGTTGAGAGCGCTAGTTCGTTCGTTCATTCCATCTCTCAATCAGATGTTTCACGTGAGGTTTTGGCATGTGAGGGTAATTTTAAGCTCCTTGTTGCGAAGGCGAAAGAATCTGAAAGCTTCGTCGAAGCTTGTTGCGAAACTGCATGGATTGAAGCTGCTATTACATTGACAAAAGTTCCACAGCATATTTCATCAATATGCTTTAATCTGGAATTATCCAGACTTGTCTTTGAGGGAGTACCACTAAGCAGAACATTGACAGAACTTGAAATTGAAAATATGATTGAAAAGATCAACGAAGATGAAGTTTGCCTTGCCAAAGAGTTAGCCTCTCAAGATGAGAAAGAACTGCTGGAGAAAATGGAAGAACAATTGAAAGGCAAGGAATTGAAATCGTTGAAAGGCCAGGAAAGGGAGTTGGCCCGCTGTCTTCTTGGGAAACTCAAAAGTACATCAACAGAATATTATTTGGAACAGTTTAGGAGAATCATTGTACCAGCGCAGTATCTGGAATATGTGCGTCCTGTAGGAAAAGGTGGATATGGACATGTGCACGAGATGAAATGGTCCGGGATAAAAGTTGCGATGAAGGTTTTTAATTATAACAACAACCCATTTTTTGACAAAGAAGTAACAGCATTGATGGGACTCTTTCATGCTAACGTTATCCCCTTATTTTTTTGCTGTACTTATGAAAGGCAAAGTATTTGCATGGAACTGATGGAGAACGATCTTGCTACTCATATATGGAGTATTAGGGGGTTGCAGCTTATTGTTCCGTTCTCCAGTTTTGTAATGGTTGACATCATTGGTGAAGGCATGCATTACCTTCACTCAAAAAATATTGTGCATAGGGGCTTAAAACCAGACAATGTTTTGGTGAAGGTAGTAGACAAGGAAAATGGGTATGTGCATGTCAAATTGGCAGATTTTGGACGAGCCAAAACCTTAGAAAGTAGTATTTCTATTCAAACATGCAATGTAGGTACTAATAGATATATGGCTCCAGAAGTGATTCATTTTCATGACCAAGAAAGTGGAGCAAATGTTCTATTTGGGAGGAGGAAATACTATGATCCAAAAAAAGCGATGTGTATAGTGTTGGTATGGTGTGTTTCTACATGTTGATTGGAAAAGAACCTTTCTTTGACCTAAAATCTCCAATTGATGCAAAGAGGAAGATAAAGAATGGTGATTGGCCATTTCTACCTAATCATTGTCCACCAATTTTGAAGAATGTGATAGAAGTTTGTTGGAAATTAAATGGCCAAGACCGTCCCACTTTTGTTGAAATTTGCAAGAAATTGAGGCATGTGCAATATGACATCATGACATCATTGCCAAATGAAATGACATTAGAAAATAATTTTCATCAAAATATACAATTTCAACAAACAACTAATAGCTTGTCAAAGAACTTGTCAAAGGTAAGTCTTGTACTAAAAACTATAGAAACTATGTAATGAATATGTTGGATTGATTGTATTTTGTACTTGCAAACACTCTCCTATGTTGAAGTGATGGTTAGATGTCGTACCATGATAAGTTAGTAAAACTAGGGCAAAATTTAATATGTGTATTATCATTTATATTCTTTTGTTAATTTATGGGTGAATTTTTAATTGTAGAATGATTTACTTGTTGAAGAAGAATTTGGTAGAAAACAAGTTTTTTGGCAAAGAGTACAACAAGAGTACAACAATGGGCAAATAAAGTGAAGTCAATGGGGCTTGATGTTATGAATAGAACATACATGGCAACTATAGCAAAGGCCACATTTAATGATGTGAAGTTTGTATGCAAGGCCTCAATTATTTATGGGGATGCTTGGGAAGGATCTGATGCTTATATTGGAGCATTCAAGATTTTATTGGAAAAAGAAAACATATTGAATAGAAACCAATGTGCTAATTTGTGCAAAAGCATTGAACATGTTACAAAGGTTTTTGACAACCTAATGACTTGCACTAATGTGGGATTGGAGTTTGGACTTTTATTGAGTGAATTTTTTTTTATATTAAATCAATCTTATCTTCTAGTAAAGAATTGTGGAAAACTAAAGTGGTGTGAAGAAGCTATCCACTAATTGAATAATAAAGAGACCTTTAGAGAATTGCTTATGAATTTAAGATGTTGTTATAATATAGCAAGTGATATGCTTTTAAAGCATAATTCTAACAAATTTGAAGACATTACATTTGCTACATTTGATGTTGCAACATTTGATGAAGTGGAAGATGTTAATTTTCCACGAGAGAGGTTAATCCACGCAAATGAAGACGAAGATTTTGAATATCATGGATCAAAAAAGTATCTATTACATTGGTTGGAAGACTTTTACCACAAAGAGATTATAGAATTGGATGCTTTGTATCTCACAACAGACATGCCAAGTCTTGAATTTATAGAATTTATAGATCATGGAGCTTTTGGAGAAGTCTATAAATTAAAGTGGTTGGGACTTTTGTGTGCAACTAAAAAAATAGATGTTGTATTTTTTTCGCTTTTTATCAAAGAAGTGAACATTCTTGCAAGTATAAGCCATTCCAACTTGATAACATATTATTTTGCACTAAAAAATAATGCCAATAGAAGTATTGAATCTTCTACAACAAAATGTAAAAATGAATATTTGTATATTGGAATGGAATTAATGGAAAACAATTTGAGTAATTTGTTGGAAGAAAAAAAAACAATTATCTATTAATTTTCTTATTGACATTATGCATCAAATTGCAAAAGGAATGTGTTACTTGCATGATATGCACATTGCACATCATGATCTAGAGCCTCGAAATATTTTGGTTAATATTGTGGAGTCAAGGATTATGAATAAGATTGTTGAAAATGCTATTATAAAAGCAAGTGACTTCGGAATTTCTAAGATTGAAGTTGGAAGAAATTCAAAAGCCACAGAAAATAATTATATTTATGGTACTCTTAAATATGCAGCTCCAAAGGTACTAAAAAATAGATTTCAAACAATGATAATATGTCCTTTTGAAGCTGATGTTTTTTCATTTGCAATGATATGTTCTAAGATTCTTACAAAAAAAGATCCATTTTATGATGCTTCTACCATAAAAGACATATTACAAAGAATTGAAAATGGTGAAAGACCGAACTTACCATCACATTGTGATGACTTGAATGAACTTATCAAAGAATGTTGGAGGTTGAATCCTATGCATCGGCCAAAGTTTGCAATTATTTGTAAAAGATTAGACTTATTAAAAAAAAGTACTTGGTTGGAATTGATGTGGAAAATGCTCAATGGTTTGGAGCATCAGAAAGCAATTGTCATCAAAAGATAGGATTTCAACTACATAATAGATTGCCATTGGTAAGTCTTGTACTAGAAACTAAAGAGAGCATATATTGAATTAGTTGTATTGATTGTATTTTATACTTATATACACTCTTCTATGTTACATTGACACTTAGATGCCTTATTATTAGCTCAACTTAGTAACTCTAGGATAAAATGTAGCACATGCATGATTCTTATTTCTTTGTTGATTTGTGGATGAATTTCCTAATTGTAGGTTGATTTACTTGAAGAAGAAATTTTTGGTAGAATACAATATTTATCCTATATAAGACAACAATGTGCAAATGAAGTGAAGGCATTGTAACTTATTGGAATGGGTGGAATAGGCAAGATGACAATAGCAAAGGCTATATTAACTGGTGTAAAAGACATACAATGCCTCATGCTTTGTCGAGTGCATTGTAAGTGGTGGTGATTGTTATACAACTTCTTGTAATATTTTAGAACAATTCAAAGTCAAATTAAAACCAAAGGATGTGTAAGAAGCTCAAGAAATGTTAAAATTATTCTTAAAAGAAAACAAAACCATCTTGGTCTTTGATAATGTGAATGATCAAAGTCAAATTGAAGATGTTGTGCTAATGGATGATATCTTTGCTAGTAATGGTAGTACATTGATTGCAACAACTCGAGATTTAAAAATAATAAAGCATTGTGGTAAAGAAGTTTGTATTGTAAATATTGAAGAACTTGATGAAGAATCAAGTATGAAGTTATTTATCACACATTCTTGTGGCCAAGAAAATTTGCCTAATGAAGTTGTTGAGGTCGGCAAAAACATTGTAAGAGCTTGCAATGGCCTACTATTGAGTCTAAAAGTTATGGGAGCCTTTCTAAGAGAAAATAAGAGATTGAAATGTTGGGAGTGAGCTTTACAAAAGTTGAAAAAGAGAAGAGAGTTGGATGGAGATGAAAACAATAGTAACTATAAGATTTTGAAGATATTAAGAGCAAGTTTTGATAATTTGAAAGTTGAAGAGAAGAAAATATTTTTAGACATATGTTGTTATTTTTGTAATGATGTATGTCCACAAGGCATGTCCAAAGAAAGAGCATTGTGAATGTGGGCCAATATTCAAAAAGACGTATTTGAAGTAGATGTGGAATTTATGTTGGATACATTAATTAATCAATCATTAGTAAAAATAGACAAAGATGGACTTATAAGAGTACATGAAAAACTACAAGACATGGGTAGAAACATTGTTGAGATTGAAATGGAGTATAAATATACTCGGATGTGGAACTTGAATATAGATCTATTTTATGGATTATCAAACAAGGTAATTTTATCAAACTATTATCTAAATGGTATGTGTAAAATTAATAATAATAAAAAAAAATCAACATTTAAAGATTGATGTTTTTTTTATTTTTATATTATATATATATATATATATGTATGGTGGTGTTTAGATGTATATTGCTGAGAAGTTATTATGTAAATAATTTGATTTTACATTATAATTAGATTTATAAAAATATAAAATACATCACTATTATAAAAATTCTAATCTAATTATGTATTCAATTGTGTTGGTTTGTAGTTAGAGGGGTTATTTTACAACAACATAAACAACAACATGAACAACAAAAATGTAAATGGAATTGGACATGCTTCTTTTCCATCACTTCAATTTTTAAGTTGTGATGTTGGTGTTTCCACACCTGAAAGTATTTTAAGGTTATTAAGCATATTTTTTTGGTTGGTTAAGCATTCTCTGTATTTAAAATGTTTTCTACTAGATATGCCACAAGAACACATTTTAAATGAAGAATTAGTAAACAAAGTATTGCCAATGCTACATGATAAAGATGTTTGGAAAAAGTTTGAGAGTTTAAATGTCTTGCAATTGAAAAATTATTCTTTTATTAAGAAATTTCCATATTCATTCTTTAAAATTACTACATTATTGGAACTTGATTTAGAAGGATGCTCAAACTTAACCATGCTACCAAATGAATTGGAGTATATGACTTCTTTGAAGTTATTAAATTTAAATGGTTGTACAAGATTAAGATCTTTATCAACATCCATAGGAAGTCTTTTCTTTTTGAAAAACTTAAATATAAGAGGGTGTTTGAATTTGACATCATTACCAAATGAATTGGGTAATCTCACATCTTTGACTACCTTAAATATGGGTTGGTGCTCAAGCTTAACATGTTTTCTATCTGATTTAGCCAACCTCACATCTTTGACTTATTTGGATATAAGAGGGTGTTTAAGGTTAATATTATTGTCAAATGAATTAGACAACCTCACATCTTTAACTACCTTGAATATAGGAAGGTGCTCAAGCTTGAAATTTTTACCAAATGAATTGGACAATCTTACATCTTTGACTTCTTTAGACATAGGAGGGTGCTCAAGGTTGACATCATTGCCAAATGAATTAGGCAATTTCACATCTTTGACTACTCTTGTTATAAGTGAGTGTTCAAGCTTAACATCATTGCCACAAGAATTGGACAACTTAACATTATTGACTACCTTAAATATAAATTGGTGCTTGAGGTTGATATCATTGCCAAATGAATTGGACAACCTCACATCTTTGACTATCTTTAATATAGAAAGATGTGCAATGTTGACATCATTATCAAATGAATTAAGAAACCTCACATCTTTGATTACCTTAGTTATAAGTGAGTGCTCAAGCTTAACATCATTGCCAAATGATTTAGGTAACTTGACATCTTTAACTACCTTGAATATAAGAGGGTGCTCAAGTTTGACATCATTGCCATACAAAATGGGCAACCTCACATCTTTGACTTATTTTGATATAGGAGGGTGTTTAAGATTGACATCATTGCTACAAAAAATAGCTAAACTTACAACTTTGACTACCTTAAATATGAGTTGGTATTTAAGCTTGACATCATTACCAAATGCATTGGGCAATCTCATATCTTTGACTATCTTAAATGTAAGTTGGTGTTTAAAGTTGACATCATTGCCATGTGAATTAGGTAACCTTATATCTTTAACTACCTTGAATATAGAAGCGTGCACAAACTTGACATCATTACCATATGAATTGTATAACTTCTCATCTTTAACTACTTTAAATATAAGAGGGTGTTCAAGGTTGACATCATTGCCATATAAAATTAGCAACCTCATATCTTTGACTACCTTTATTATGAGTGAGTGCTCAAGTTTGACATCATTACCAAATAAATTAGGTAATCTCATATCTTTAACTACCTTGAATATAAAGGGGTGTTTAAGATTGATATCATTACCATATGAATTAGGTAACTTACATCTTTGACTTCCTTTGATATAAGAGGGTATTCAAGATTGACATCATTGCCAAATGAATTGGGCAATCTCACATCTATGACTACCTTAAATATAAAAAAGTGTACAAACTTGACATCATTACCTCAAGAATTAGGTAATTTGGTATCTTTGACTATCTTAAATATGAGTTGGTGCTTAAGCTTGACATCATTGCCACAGGAATTGGGCAACTTATCATCTTTGATTACTTTAGATATGAGTCGATGTTCAAGCTTGACATCATTATCAAATGGATTGGACAATCTCACATCTTTGATTAGCTTAAATATAAGTTACTGCTCAAGGTTGATATCATTATCAAGTGAATTAGGCAACCTCACATCTTTGACTACTTTGAATATGAGAGGGTACTCAAGATTGACATTATTGCAAGTTGAACTAGGTAACCTCACATCTTTGACTACCTTGAATATGAAAGGGTACTCAAGGTTAACATCATTACCAAATGAATTGGGCAACCTCATATCTTTGACTACCTTAAATATTAGTTGGTGCCCAAGATTGACATCATTACCAAAAAAATTGGGCACCCTCATATCTTTGACAATTATTGATACAAGAGAGTCTTCAAGCTTGATATCATAGTCAAAAAGAATGATCAATACTTTTCAAAAAAGATTCTTGTAAAACAAGTCTAAAATCAATAGATAGTACATTCAAAAGTTAGTGAGAAAAAAAAAAAAAAAACAATCCTAAATAAGATAAATTTAAATTATGATTATTCAAAAAAAATAGTAATTTTAAGAATATTAAAATTAGATATATTATTTTAGATTTGAAAGATAAGATGTATATGTTTCTAATTTTTTGGCATCTTTATTTTTTAAATTTTTACTTGACCTACTTTCTAATTTTTAATATTTGTAATTCTAATAGAATAAATATTTTGTTCTATGAGATCTTAGTTAAAAAGATATACAACTTTAAATTTGAAATTAATATTTTGACTTTTGGCATAAGATATATAAGAATTCAATGTTTAAGGTTACAAAGCTATGTCCAATTTAAATTATATTTATATTTCTAAATTTTGACTTGATCTAATATCAATGAGTTCACAATTTAAGATATAAGATTACAGATTAAGATTTAGGATATATGTATAGATTATAAGATTAAAGATTCAAGATTTAAGATTACAAGAATATACTTGATTTTTTGACGTCTTTATTTCTTTGACTTTAACTTGATTTATTCTTCTATTTTTGTTATCTATAATTTTAATTGTATGAATAACTTGCTTTAGAATGTTTTTAATTTGTAAGATATAACAATTTTAATTATGGTTTTAGGATTTTAACTTTTGTTATAGAAGAATTTTTGAAACTTTTGAAAACTTTTTTGGATCTATTTGGAGGTTATCCATTCTAATTATATTATTGAATTATTTTAAAGGTGTATAGATTTGTAGATATTAAGTGTTAAGTCATTTAGATTTTTAAGTTGATTTTTATATTGGATAAAAGTTTTTAAGTTTTAATTTAATTTTACTTCTTTATTTTGGGGGTTTGAAAATCCAATGATAAACTTAGAATGTTCTAAAATTTTTTTTGATTCTTTTATATAGAGTCTTTGATTTTTTACTTTTTTTTGTTGATTTTTATTAAATTTATTGAATTTTTTAAAAACATTGGTATATTTCTTTACTTATGATGCTTCAAATTCTGATGGTACATTTAAAACTTTAGCAAGTGTATAGCTTAGAAGATATAAAGATTTAAAAATTACAAAACTATTTTTAATATAATATATATATAAACTTATTAATAATATAATAATAAAATAAATAACTCAGATAGGTATATATTTATGTATTGAATGTAAAATATTATATTAATTCTTTTTTTAAAATATTATATAATTATTAAGACCAATATTTATATTAGATTTTTATCTACATGTATTACTTATAAAAAAACTTATAAATAGTAGTTAATAGTTAGAAGAAGCATGAAAAAAAATTTCATATCTTTTTAATTATTTTTATAAAAAGTGAGATTTATAATTGATTTAAGATGATTTTATTACTATAAAAAATCACCAAGTCAAAAAAATATAATTATAACTTGATATTAGCTTTATAAAAATATTAATAAAAAATAAGTTTTATTACCTTAGGAGCCATTATGAAGAAATGAAAGAAGATTTGAAAGTTTTATAAGGTTTCTAGACCAATTAGATTTATTTGAACATCATGGTGAAGTCCAAAATTTAAAAATGATAGTTTGATTAATAAAATATATAAGGTTTAGGAAGTTAGAATATAAATCCTAAATCCTAAATCCTAAATTTTAACTTGTTATATTGATTATTTACATTTATAACATAAAAGCTATCTCAATTACTATTAATAATTTATTCAAATTTATTCAATAAATAATAAAAATTAATAAAATTTATATATTATATACTTATTAATAATTTTAAATCTAATCTAATTATTATTAATATTAACAAGCTAAAAATATATTAATTTTATAATAAAAATGTATTAGTCATAATTATACTTAAGTAATCAATTGGAGGACTAATTGGATAATAAAAAAATAGTAGCTAAAAAAAGAAATAAGAACTTAAAGATTTAAAAAATAAAAAGTAAAATTAGTTAGATGAGGAGAAGAATATTTATATACAAATTTATGTATATGTCATTTAAAAAATTAGAGCCTTAGTCATTAATCAATGTTAAAAAATAGATGTACTTAGTCATAATCTATTCATACAAAAACTTAATAGTGACTATTACTGAATTGGTCTTCAATGTGTTTGCTTCCATCCATTTGCTGGCATAGTTTATTGCTACCAATATATAGCAATTATTGATCCTTACAATCAATGGTTTAATTGGATAAGTAAAATCTAAATTCCATTTAATTAATAATTTTTCTAACATATTTATTACCAAACCAATATTTTCCATGCCTATAATATTTTAGCACTAAATATAAGCCCATCAATATTTTGATACATTTATGTCCAAAAAGAACTATTTATACACAACATCTAGTATCTTTCTTGTGGTCATACTTTATAAAAAATGACCACCAATTACATTGTTATGCATCTCCTCTATTACCTTTATATCCATCTATATTTTAAAAATAAAAAGCTCCTTAAGAAGTCTCTATAGATTAGTTAGTAATCATTTCTAACCCATGGGCCATTATCTTTTGCCTTTAGAGGTTAGATTACTACTTAGCCTCTAAGCACTCATTTATCTAGAAGATATGAATAGACGGGAGGAAAAAATTAAAAACAAATTTCTTCAAAGCCAAAAAAAGATTCTAAGACCAACTTGCATAACAAATAAAGGTGATATAAGAACAAATGATATTATTGATTAAGAGTCAAAATCTCAACTAAGCTCTACCACCTATAGAATTAGGAAGGAAAAAAAAAAAAAAAAAAAAAAAAAAAAAAAAAAAATTGACGTATACATTCAAATGATATGATATATCAAGGTATATTTTTTTCTATCAATCTAGGTTTTGTAATTTTTATTTATCCAACTGGTATAAATGGGCTTTAATCTTCATAACAAAATTTGAAAAGTTAATAATGTTCAATCTTAATTTTTTTATGATTTGAAAAGACATAATATTCAATCCATATATAATATTATAGAGGATAATTTTTTCTATAATAGAAACCTCAATTTCTATTGTTTTTATCTCACCTCGTTTAATATATGCATCTATCTTTCTTTATATTAAACTTCTTTTGATTTATCATTGAAATTCAAGTTTTAAGTGCCTTCTTAACCGTCAAGGAAATTTCTAATAGTTGAAAAAAGGTTATATTGACCTTTAACTTACTTAGGTTAACTCATAAATTATGCTTTTGTGAGTTTGAATCATCTACATCTTTGTGTTGTTAAAGAAATTTAAATGTAGGAATTTTGAAACTTTTTTTAATTATGATTATTTGAGTTGATACAAGTTTTGAAATGGTGATTCTTCTACAAAAGGATCAAATCTTAGAGATTTGGTAACATTATTGTGAGTTGCTTTAATCATATCTTGAATGACTTCTTCTAAATCTAAAAAATAAGATAGATTATGTAAAGTACTATTTATTTATTTATTTATTTATTTATTGATAGGTATAAAAGGTTGCAACTCTAGATTTAATTATTATTACAATAATTGATACTACATGTAGATTTCAAACCTTTAATTGATTTTTTTTAAAGGTTATTAAATTTAATTTTTTGAAAAAAAGGCTTGATTTATAATGGTTTGTAAGGGATTTTGAATCTTTGTCAACTCTTCTATAAGTTGAGACATAAATCTCACATTTTGTAACCTTTGGCCATGTCATGGTTTATTAGAAGGATTTTCAACTCAAAAAGGTATTAGATGAATGGTTGGAATACCACTTGTATGCTCCATCTTTTAATGTGGTTGAAAGTTGCATTAATTAATAATGGCCATCTATTATCAAATAAATTGTAAGTATTTGTAAGAAATTTTCTATTTGAGCCAAAGAATTTTTATTTCTTATACTTTTAAAAATAAGAAGGTTAGGAGGCATGGAACCATTATTAAGTCCTTTGAAAATTCAAATAAATAGACCTCTTGGTTGAACCAAGGGATTAATGGATATGTGTGGTGGTTCTTCCATCTCTATTTTATATGGATCTATTATATTTGGTTATTGAGTTAAATAGATATTCTTTTTATTCAAATTAATTGTAATACCTATCAATGAGATTGAAGACAAGTCTCTTAAATCTTCTTCAAAGTCTTCTTAAGAAAGATCCTCAAATTCTTCTCATAAAATTTTGGATATATTTAAATTATATTCATCAATTAAATTTTTATAAATAAGTTAAAAAAAAATCTAGTAGCTCTTATTACTTTTAGATTATTTAAAAATTATATTAATACAAATCTATTGAATTTAGTAGAAAAATATATTAAAGGTTTTAATATTTAAAATTTTATTTTTAACAAAAAAATAAAATAAATAAAATAAGCCAATAATAATCAATTAACTATGTATTTTTTTAAGATATTATACTTATCAAATTTTGTATCCTACTTGAAAAACATTCCTTCTAATAAAGAAGAAAAATACAAAAAATATAGCTTAGATGAAGAATGCTTCCTTGAATATCATTCCAAGCAAGACTTTCCTTTTCTTAGACTACTATATGGAATGACCTTGTGTAGAAATGACCCTAATCAATATTAGAGTAAAAGAATATTCATGATGGTAAGGAGATTTTTATTTTTTTAATTTTTATTTTTTATTTATCTTTTATACAAATGTAATTAATAAATTATCTAAAATATAATTATTGATAAGATTTTACTAGAAAAAAATAATTCTTTGCATGCATTAAGCCATTTTATAGAAGAACTCATCTAACTGCATTGCCAACTATTTTATGACGACCTCTCTAATTAATTACAAGCTAAAGTTTAAAGAGTAAGATTAAAGGGTGAAGATTCTATTTATTCTATTATACTTATGTCTTAAAAGAAAGATTTGATGAATACCTCTTTTGCTTCTTCTTCCTAGATTCTACCTTCCAATTCTTTGCTCTTTGTTCCATATGTATATGCTAAAATTAAATAAATTCCAATAAATTCAAAAAAGACTAAAAAACTTACTTGATTTTTTCTTCTTAATTTTTAATTTTCTTCTTCTTGCTTCTTGCTCTTTATTTCATAAATTTTATTAATTTAATAAATAAAATAAATAAAAAAATATGAAAAGAAGATTTATTTTAGACTATAGCCTTTTGAATATTTTTTTTTTTTTTTTTTTTTTTTCCATATTCTTCTTCTTTCTTATTTTTTTTAAATTTTTATTTTATTTTTTTGGTGAAATAAAATTTTTAAATTATTATT